GCATCCAAAGCCTTCGCGGCCTTCAACTCGAGTGAAGTCATGGAAACAGTATCCGGGTTATTTCCATAAGTAAAGTTCGGAGCGGACACGGTGTAAAAATCCGGAATTTTCTTTAAGCGATATGCCTATTTTTAGATCATGTCTCAAACTAAAATTAATTTTTATCAAAATAATGATAATCAATTAAATATAAATTTAAACACCTGATTACTAGTATTATGTATTCTATATCTTTGCCTTATATGCTAACGGTTAAATGCGAGCAGGTTGAGAGAGTTGCGGAAACAGTGATAGTTGAGAACAACATGTTGTTCAATCTAGTATATTACTGTTTCTATCCTGTTTTGTCAAAGCTGATAAAAAGTAAATCTGTATGTTGACTTACTTATCTTATATCTTCCCTTTTGTGCGTGAAAATTTTGTATGCCCCACCAACATAGCTCAACTGACCATGTATCTTGCATCTCTATAGATGATTGATATCTGTGTTAGTGTTGATAAAAGAGGTTTTGTAACAAATTAAGGATTTGTAATTTAATTTCGAAAGATAAAATACATTGATAAATGAAGTTGACACCAACACCGAACATGTTTGTATGAACTAAACCTGTCTGGTTGCTTTCTTCCTTGTATACAGGTGTCTCATTATATCGCGGTACTTAAATCCTTTGCATAAAAAAGTGTAATTTGATTTTTTAAATTTAACTTTCATCATATGATATTAATAAAGCAAACTATGGCCTAACTTTTTAGTATCAAATTATTTCCCAAGCTTGCATCGTCTAAGTTGTAGTCTATTTTTAAAACAGGAAGTCTCATTTACCTCCTAAATTGGAGAGTCTCATAGTATCGCGGTATGGAAAAACATGGAAACTTGAGGTTGACATGGACTTCAATTCTTATTTTTTATTTTACCATGTAATTTAACATAAGAAAATAAACAATTATACAAACTAAAGACTTTCAAAACATGAACTTTATATGGATTTTACTAGATTAAAAACTCAGTGGGCTAAAAATAATAAAAACGGAGATCGATTTCTGTACAATTACGTTTTATTTGAATAATTTTTTTTCCGACGCATTTTCCATACTTTTTAATCATCACAAAAATTTACATTCAGATGACAGACTGCTATTTTTTTCACCAAAAAGCATATGAGCTATGTATCTGATCTTTTGGAATATACCGCGATACAATGAAACCCGCGATATAATGAGAATCGAGTATATATTTTGCTTTTTCTGCTTCTGCTCCTTCACACCGTCCGCACACTTTCGCGCTCCATAACTCTTTGTTGACAATAGGATCTACTTCCTTGGTAACCGATTCTCATTCGGAATATACTCTGTCATTTTCCTATGCGAGTGACCCAATATTTCCGAGTATTTCCGACTGCATCCTTCATAGACCAGTTATGCCCCTTTGTTTGATTTGGCGGATCTAACTAGTACGCAAAATTGACCCTAACACAGAATACAGTATTTATTTCTGTGTAAAAGAACTAAGAAGAATATCGTTATCGATAATTCAGTCTTTACTTACAGATAAGTGGAAAGGAATTTCTAGAATAGGGCGGGAGGAGCATAATAATATGTAATAAATGATATAATCAATGAGATAAAATAAATCAAAAATTTAAAAGAAAAGCTTAATATCATCATTTAGATTAATTTATTTTTAGTGAGGTTATATTTGCTTGGTTTTCTTTTTTAATTTATGAGGGAGGTCCAACTGCAACAAATTATAGCTTTGTTGTAAAGCATAACGCTGACGAGCATCATTACCCCCCACCCACCCCCCTTTTAACCCTCAGTTTCAGAGAGATCTCTTAACAATGTTTTATGTGTGACAGCCTCAAATGTAAGACTAATTGACTACAAATAAAATTATTAATAAGCTTAAAATAATAGAATTTTTCAAAGTAGGCAAGGTTAAAGCATTTATTTAGTATTTCAAAATTTTATAAAGAGCAAATAGTTAAAAGACATATTTTTGTACACAATATAAACAGGTCCCGAAATTATATAGCCATGAAACCGCAGTTGATTTTTATTTTAAAGATTGCATGCATGCTCATATAAAGTTTGAATGAAAACACATGATGAAATTTTGTTCCTTTATGATTACTGAGAATTATTTCCTTTGGCATTTTCTTTAAATTTTTGTTCTCACTTAAATTTATGGTCATGACTGAGAACAGGAATGGTACGCGTACGTGCGTCTTTAATTTCAAGTGCACTGGTTTGTTTATCAAAATAAATTATTTCATCCTTAATTTTATCTAAATCAGTGATCAATAAGATCATGGGTCATATCGCTCACCTGCAGTACTGAAAAGTTAAAATGCATAAGTGGTCCAACCTACCATTAAAGTCATATATATGGCGTATTTTTGATAAGTTCAGATTAACTAAAATCAAAAAAGATCTTTTTATTAATTTTGTTCTGTTTCTTTATATAAAGAGGAATTTCCTGTAAATTATCACAAATTAAATCAATCGCGTTTCATAGATATCACAGATTTAAAACTATAACCGATTTATTTCCGGCTCGGAATCAAATATCAGACACAGTATGAAGTCAGTTTAACTATCTATACGTGTTGATATTTAAGTTCAATATCGGTGAAAATTTGAATTTGAACGTAAATAACAAATATCATGTAAATCTACACTTAATCTCGTATTTTTATTTTTTAGCTCAGATACGCTATATTTAGCTCTAAAGGGAGGGGGTATGTTTTATTGCGGTGTAAAATGCGACATTTTCGGACTTATTATAAAATACTTGGTAAATTAACTTTTTGGACTTTGTGTAAATTGTTATGAAAACTTTTCATATATTTCGACAAATGTGATAAATTACAGCAGCTAGTATATTATAAATTCCGTAAAGCCTTAATCATTCGCTCAATAATTGTTTGATACTTGATTTCTATATACACTGTACTTTTTTTAATCACATTTGCCGAAATATAAGAAAAATTTTGACAACAATTTACATAAAGTCCGAAAAGTAAATTTACATACTAAGTTATACAAGTCCGAAAATGTTGTATTTTACAGTTTACACCCTAACAGTTGGAATAAACTTGAATCTACACAAACTTATATTATGATGATTGTATACTAGTATTAGTATTTGATTAATTGTGGCTCCCCCCGTTAAATTTGAGCTAACATTGTGGTACAACCCTACCCCCCCCCCCCCCCCGGGTCATGATTTTCAGGAGCAAATCTGAATCTGCACTACCTGTGGATGCTTTCCTACATGTAAATATGACATCGTGGCTTTGCTGTTGATGAGAAAAAGATTTTTTTTGAAAAGATTTTCCCTATATATTCCTATTTTTAAAGTTTTTTTCTTATTTCAATGTAAAACTTTGATCGTCCATACATTTAGCTGCAGGTTTGTAGCGTTATGGTTTTATATATTTGTCTTTGACCATAGGGCTACAGATCGATCCCGTTATGTAAAAAAGGTGCAATTTACGACGCAATATTAATTTTTGCGCACTTTGGGGGAGAATTTTCCACTTTCTAGCATTGGTTAATCAACTACCTTCCACTCGATCCCTCATTCTAGACACATTCTGTAGCTAATATGTATATTTTATCTACCTCCCAACCATTTATAGTTGTCTCTACAGACAATAAACTCGTTTGAAGTGAATTTTTAGCAATCTAACAAATTATTTTAATCAAGCGAGTTTATCACTTGTAGAGATGACTATATAAAGGGTTGGGAGATGGATAAAAAATATAGATTAGTTAAAGAATGTACCTTGAATTAGGGAGTGAAAAGGTAGTTTATAATTGACCGATGCTGGGAAGTGGAGAAATTCTCCCCAAAAGCTGTGCAAAAAATATTGCGCCGTAAATTGCACCTTTTTTGCATTACGGGATCTGTGGTTATATGTAAAACCACAACGCTACAGATCTGCAGCTACCATGCATTGTGAACCGGTCCTACCCTCAGGGCGTCATGATTTGAACAAATATGAATCTACACTATACCTGATGCTACCATTCAAGTTGCTGTTCTTGCGAAGAAAATATATTTCATACATGTTCATGTGTAAAAATTTAATCGTTCAACGTAACCCCCCCCCCCCAAGGTCATGATTGAACAAACTTAAATGTACACCTCTAGAGAATGACTTCAAATGCTTATTAATCTGATTACAGATATATGTAAGACTAAATACATCTAATCATCTATTGCACTGGCCCTCTGGAAAGTTGGGCTGAAATTGGTCCAGTGGCTCTTGAGAAGAAGTCAAAAATTTGAAAAGTTTACAGACAGACGGACGCCGGACAAAATGTGATAAAAAACAGGCATGTAGCAACTGCCGGGGGGGGGGGCAGCCTGCCCCCCCCTCCCCACTTTTTTTCCCAATCCATATGAAATAAGATTTTCGACAACTTTTTTTTTGCTTGTCAAATTTTTCAGGTATGTAAACAAAAATTTTCTCTGGCTGTCCCCCCCCCCTCCCCCATTTTCAAGAACGATGCTACGTGGCTGAGAATAGCTCACTTGAGATTTCAGCTCAGGTGAGCTAAATAAGGATGTACAAGTGTGTACAATTAAAATTCATTGCAATTTTCATTTTTCGTTTGTCAACGTCCAGATTTCTCTCCTGTGTCAAACAGGATCCAAAATTTATTTTAACCCTATACAGGCGACACATGAGTTCGAACTGTAAGGGATCACTTTAGTCTGTCGTCTAATGGTTATTACGGCAAACTGTGGGGGTCCTTCTACATTACAATCTATCATTGAAATGTTTAAAAATCAGATTTTGTACATTATGAAAATTTTCTCTTGTTATCTCAATTAATCTTATTTTAAATTATGACAAAACATAGTTTATTATTTCTGGCGATGTTAAATATTATTATTTATACAAATTATTTTAAATTTCTTTGAAAAAAATCATAAATTGAAAGAAAGAAAGGGAAGTCATTTAAGGAAAATTTTTCCGGATGTGACATCACAGGAGGAACTCAAGTTCGAAGAATATGAGGGAATAGGTGAAACGTAACTTACGATCTGAGGAGAAAATGCGTCATTCATATTTGCTCACTTTTATCTTATTTTTCATTTCATTCACGTGTTCGACGACCTTAAAATTAAGAGCATGCGTGTGTTCCGACTCAAGCCTTTGCTATAATAAGATCAGGAACTTTACCAGAGAGGTAAATGTTATCTTATTTTGTTATTTTCTTTCGAGGCTTTGTAAATCATTAGCCAACCTTTAAGAGATCTTTTAGGGATATCATTATTTGGGTGATCAAAGTTGTTGAAGACGAATATATTGTGTATGAATTGATTCATTTCGGTCTTTCCGGAAGTATGACTAAATGTCCCCTAGCTGCTTGATTTGTGTACTCTCAATACACTGAACTATTTATAAGTCTCTTGTACTTCTCATGATACCATTACTAAAACAATGAAAGTTTTGTGGATAGAGTTGACGTTCTGTGTACAATTTTTATTGTTCATTTCCGGGGTTTCTTCTGATAATGCTGTGAAGTACAATATCCATCATGATTGTCCATGTGACCCTATTTATTGCAGAGTACATAAATTTGAGTACAATGATGAGGTTTGTCTTGTTTTAAATTTTTGTTTGACTTCAGAAAAAAATGATACATGTAATACATGTCAATTTACATGCAAATATTATCTAGTTTTTATCAAAAAAATGTTAGCCCTGTGATTTAAACAAGTGTCAATTAATCAGGGGTTCAAAATTTTTTTTGTCATGGTCAAGTCTAGGACTTAAAGAGTAAATTTTAGGCAAGTCCGAGGAAGAAATTTGAAAGTCCATATTAACCTACACATCATTAAATTTATGTTACTTATAATTTATTTTCATTTGTTGCATTGAATGAATAAAGACTATATGTATTAAATAAATATATGTTTTATTTTTCCTCCATAAACTGTCATATAGTCATGCATGAGTATTTCAAAAGTACCAGACTGATAGATTATTGGTACATTAAAATAACTCACTACTGAATAAACCATCTGTTACAATAAGTATTATTTAGAGTACGAGTTTCTTACTGTATCAGAGATACAGGGCGGGGCTTGAGGCGAGAGCGATAGCTCGAGCCGGGCCCCGCCCTGTATCTCTGATACAGTAAGAAACGAGTATTCTAAATGACTTGTGACATGACCTTTCTAAGGACCTCACTAATTTACATGCGTATTTGGGTGTATACCTCCCAGCCAATCAAATGATTTTGCAGAAAGTTGATTGAGTATCCCATTTTAAGCATTTTCAACTGAAATGCCGAGCGAGATGGACGTGCAGGTATCTATCATTTTAAAATCATTTAAGAGATGCATAAATTAATTTGTTTTCCAAAAACTTTATTTAGATTTAATTGCGCAGGGTTTTTTTTTCTCTCTGCAGCTCTTGCTGATCTTTTGATGACATTCTTTTTTCAGTTTAAGCTATGATTTAATGCAAAACATTTTGATATATAAGAATCATGTGGGAATATTTTTGAAACAAAAATGCTTCGGGAGATCGTAGATTCTGAGAGAAATGTCCGACAATGTCCTCCACCGGTCGTCATATACAAAATTGAAATAAGCAGATGAAAGGAAAGGGGGAGGGGGTGTATTTTACTTCACGTTTTCATTAAAATGTAGAGTAACCAAACGGGGATACAACACTCACTGGTGCCCCCATCCCACCTTTGAGTTTTTTTTCTCTTTCGCTTTCTTAAATTTTTTTTTCTAAACTTGTATACATACGGTTTTTAATTCATCAACAAGTAACCAAATGACGCACATAGGTGTTGGTTGATTTTAAATCTACCCCCACGGAATACGATTTTCCGTTTTGTTTTTTTTTTGGGGGGGGTGGGGGGGGGTTGGGTTCAAATAATAATTTGTGAACTGCCCCACTCCCTCCTTTCTAAAATTTTTGAATCCGACGTTAATATCTTTACGTTGTAAAATTTTATTTTTAATTCACTTCAATTTTTGAGTAAATACTAACAGTTCTATGGCGAATTGAACCATTGGTATATCTGTAGTATACGGATACAGCTTTCCGTCATCGCTAAAAATAAACCGTACTGTATCGTTGATATTTTTCAGATACAGTACAGTTTCTGCTCATTTGCATAAGAAACGCCCACAAAAAGTGTTCTGTATCGCAGTTACAGTATGCTTGACTTCAAAGGAAAACTCGCCGGGTCATGTCACAAATAGCAGTTAGAATGTGCTGTAAGTCAAAGCTAAAACCGAAATTTAAAAAACTAATAGACTAATTGCCGTTTGTCATATAGGAGGAAACATGAGGAATTGCATAAAAGCAAGAATCTAACCACAACGGAAAATAAAAAGACGGATTGTATTTTCGAAACGTTCGTAATGTTTTATGGGTATTTTAACGACCACAAACCCACATTTTTACGTAATACACTTGAGAATTTGCTTTATTTTTAGCTTTACGATCATTTTTTTAACTTAAAAAAAAAGATAAACAAAAAACATAGCCAAGTCCCAGGACTTTGGCGAATTCTAAATGCCGAGTCTGGATCCGGAATTTGTTAGTCCGGGACGTCGGGCTTGAGGAATTTTGAACCCCTGATTAATAACCAGTACATTGCCAAGATCTCAGGAATTACCTATATAGCTTCAACAATTTTTCAAATAAGCTGGACAGAAGTATTTTGATACAGTTTTTCATGAATATTTTTTAATAAATGGGCAAAAAGTTGAAGGTATAATACTACTCATAAATTAATTCGAGATTCATCTGACTCTCAGGAATCTTGGATTACTCAAAAGATATGTATGTGCTATGGATCAACATTTCAAACAGCAGTCTGTATAAATCATTGTTACAGTTTAACAATGCTGTTTTTTACAGGTTTAAGCAAAGGATATATTCCCATTGAAATGATAATTGTTCAGTTATGAATTTTTTTTTTTTCAACTGCATGCAATTAATGTTTTTTTTTTTATTAATTTTGTTCTATATGTATGAAGTTTGTGGTCAGAAATCAGTTACAAAATATAGGTAACTTTTTATGTTTTGAGTACAACATCTCTCAACAGCTGGGAACTCTAGTTCTTTAAATAAAGATTAACTTTTTTCACATGTCAGTAGTCCTTTTAAACAATACTTTAGCTTCAATCCCATTGCTCAATTTGTGATGTAAAATTGTAGGACATTAATCATATGACAAATGGTTTTCTTGAAATATGTCATTTTTTTCCATTGCAGAAAGTAGTTGTTGCAGAAGGCGAAGCAGACCACTCAAAATGGCCTTGGTCTGAAATTACCACAGTCATTGCTACAAGTGAAGTCCCAAATAAAAAAGCTCAACAGCTGATGTGTACTGCTCACAAATATAAAGCCAACTTTGCATTTATTGGTAATTTCATTTGGAATGTGAAGTTAAACTAAATTTTCTTAATTGTAAATTGTTAGAGCATTGATTAAATGTATAACATGAGCTGCAATAATGTAGACCTCTCTTATTTTTTAAATCTGATGTTTCCTCTAACCCTCTCCCCCCCCCCCCCCAAAAAAAAAGGGGGGGGGGAGGGCTACATTATTGCAGCTAGTATTACATTTATTGAAAAACATTGTAGTGGAACAAAAAAGTTTGAAAATTGTTTATCATGTTTATTATTTTGTAATTGAATTTTTTTTAAAATTTTAACTTCAGAGAAAGTACCAGTTATTACAAATACTTCGGATCCTGAGCTACAGAACTGGCTGAATAAGGTGGCAGCTAAGAAGGACCTGCTATATGTAGATTACATAGCTCTAGATTTGCTGGATCTGCTGGGACAATGTACTGCTGATAGCAGTCATATTCAGGAAGTGCTGGAATTGTTGAAGTACATGGTTAAAAATTATTTTCTTCCTCACAGTGCAGAGGTAAGATTGACCGATTTTCTCATTAAGGCTTTGATCATTTTAGATTATTTCAATAGACCAGGAGCATATAATTCAGTGCTTTTAATTGTTTTAATTTTTAATACAATATGTTATGATCTTTGAAAAGTTCATTTTCCTTATCTTAAAAACTGTAAACATACTTTTTCCCTTGTGGGTCAAAACTTCACAAAATTACAATTTAGTTTAATCCAATTAAGAGTAATAAATCACCTACCTGAAAAAAAAAAATTTCCCACTATATTCCTTATATATAATGGTAATATTAAAAGTACATTGGAACTAAAACCATACTGAAAAAAAGTACCTTAACAGTATTTAATATTAGAAGTTTAGAAATGTTGAACATTTACTACTGTACATCTTTCTCTACACATACCATTAAAGAAGCCATTCTTATATCTATAGTGCTTTTAAACCACTACAATTTCCCTTTGTAGCTGCTGTGTATTGTTCCATACAAACCTCCCTGCTATGACGGTGACTGTAGCTTAGCCAAGTATCTGACTGAGCATTGTGCTGCTTTTATCACCAGTCCAGAAAGCTTTATCACATGCGATACCAATACGAACTGCATTGCCAAAGCCACCATGCCAATGACAAGTTTAGTGTATGGTAAGTATTTTACTTTCATTAATGGTCTGAGTTCAAACATTGCTGTTTAGTACAGTACTATATTGTTAAATGGAATAAGCTGGTCTATTCTATTCTATTATTGCCTTCAATCCTATATAATGTTGTCTTATGTCCTGATTAATCCTATGTATTCAGTCATTGCATTTAGTTCAGTATTAGGTATATACTGCATATAGTTTAAGGTAATTCTGATAATTTTCATTTGAAAAAAACACTGACAACCAAGGTTAAGTTTTGGGTAATTTTGATAAATTTTATCAAAAGAAAACCACTGACAACCAAACACCAATCAAGGTTAATGTTGGTTTTTGTGGGTTGAAAATTTTCAATGTTGCCCTCAGTGACAGAGCACACTTGAGCCCAGTGCTTGTTGCTACTGTACATATACATACATCACATACATTCGGACAAAAAAGGTGTCAAATTAGTGTTTATACATGTACAAGTGTACCTTTTAAAAAGTTATTTTAAATATTTTTATAAGAATATTGATAGTTTTCTTATTATTAAGGTCATGAAATACTGTGTCAAACAATCGAAAAAGACATCTATTAGACAATAAGCTAACAATCTTTATTTTTCAGGTGTGGAAGAATACATTGACCATGGCATTACTCCAGACAAGCTGTTGATTGGAATTCCTTGGCATGGCTATGATTACACCTGTAGTAATTCTTCAGTGCAGGTGTGTTACGTTTTTCCACAGCTTTTTGAAGAAATGAATTTGATCTTTGAGAATTCATGAAAACATGAACTACGATACTCTAGGCCGGCATATTTCATAAAGCATGTTAACCTTCATGATAAACATGCTGGCATGAAGAGTTGTAGTTAATGTACACTGTACCTTATGAATTCTCAAAGATTAAATTCATTTCTTACATTTAATACATTAAATTATTTTTCTGATGACTTGCCACACATTTTTATCATTCAACAATTCTTTTAAGAAAAAAGAAGTTAGCACATTTTTTTTAACTTCAATTACTGCACAATGGAAGTATTCTTATTCATCCCATGGTAGTTCATGAGAAAATTTGCAAAGAATCTTAATGAGGAAAAATATTTGGAAATGTAAATGAAAATGGTTGTATACCTTCATATTGATAGAATTGGTAGGTTATGTGATGGTTCTTGTAAAGATAAATGATCCTTTTTCAAAAAGGAGAGGGAAAGACTACAAACTTTTGGTTTCAGGTACAATTCAAGAATAATTGATAAGGTTGGGATGTTAAGTTGAACATATGGCTTGTTTACTGCTTGTCAAAAGATTATTTTAGAGTGACATTGACTTCTGACAGAATACATGTACATGCACTTCTGAATGGAAAATTTATTTCAAAAGTTTTTTTTAGATCTTTAAAAATTCAAATTAAGACATATATTAAAATGAGTAATTTTTTTGTTTTTGTATTTTTTTTTATTAAAGATTTTTGACAGCTTATTGATCTTATGACCTTCAACTCAACCTTCAAACCATTTGATAAAAATTAATTTTCACTTCAAAGTTTTAAATCCCTTAAACCCCCAAAGGTATAATAATTCCACTGTATCTAATTTTTCTTTTTTATGTATATGTAGAAAAAGACTGGAGGTCAAGAAGCACTGACCTGCTATTTTGGCAAGAAAGTTAACTCAACTGCCTGTGATACATCAAAAAGGAAAAAAGTCAGTGTAGCAGATATTAAAGCCAAGTATCCTGTACAGTACCAGAATAAAAAGTCACACCACTACCATCCAATCTATAGATCTGACTACATTAATGTAAAAGTAAGTACTTCTTATATATGTAATTACTAGACAGTTATCATAGTTAGACTTAAGCATTTCTCTAGCCCAAGGGCTTAGGTGAGTGATGTGGCCCATAGGCCTCTTGTTTGAAATAAACAAATCTTGTTATTATAGAATACAATCCAGACTCTCTAATGCCATAAAATGAAAAGATTCTGAATTCATGAGCTTTTTTCAGTACATGTTTCAAAAATTGTATGTTTGTATGATATCTAAAATTAAATACAAACTTACACAATGGGTTTGATTTTCAAAATTATTTCAGAATATATATGCATTTGAAGTTTTGACTTACTAATAAGTTTGTTATCATTTAAATATGGACTTGTGGTCAGGTTGAAATTGTAGTATATGATTATAAGTTTTTTTTGTTACTATCGGGCTGCATAGACTCAATTTTGTGACAACGACAAAATGAAAATTTACCAGAGTTCTAGGTACATGTAACAAAATTTGAACACTGACAAAATATCTTACAAAATTTCTCTATTGTAGGACAATGGTGTACAGCATCAGCTTTGGTACGAAGGACATGACAGTCTAATGGACAAATACATGTACATCAGGACCATGAAGTTTAAAGGTAAAACCAATTAAAAAACTTGAAATATGTCCATAGGACATGAATGCCCCGCCGAGGGTATATTAGTATTGCAACATAAAAAATTGTATTAGTGTATGAAATTTGATCATAATGTCTTGAATAGTGATGCAGTTGCATTGCTTACATCAGTATGTATCAGCATATGAAGGTTAACACTAAATTCTTTAAAATGAGGTCAAGATCAAAGGAAATGCCAAGGTCAAAAAATGTGATGCAGTTGAAAAGCTCTCATCAATATCTATCAGCATATGAAGTTTGGTGAAAATATCTTGCATAGTTTCTTTGAAACTGAGCTTTGAACAGAGCTAAATGCAAAGTGTGATGGAAGGACAGAAGGGCGGACATAACAAACATTATTATACTTCTGTTAAAATGTTTCCTATATAAAGTTCAGAAGGTAAAATAGCTATCTTTTATAGTTCATGCATAGCAAAGCTATACCCTGGGGTATAGTTTTTGCTATCCACCCTCGGAAAATTTTCATGCAATTTTTGCCTCCAATTTTGATTTCCAAGCAATAAATCTATTGACTGATGATGTCATAATGATTTCAGTAGCATTTTGACGTCATCAGGATTTCAGATTATTCTTGCAGTATTATCTTACTCCAAAAAAAATTCAAACCTCAGAAATTATACTATACATCAGTATAATAAAACGCTTATCCACTGGTTGTGAGTGGGATAGCTCTTTTATCAAACCCTTGACAGGGACTATTCTCCTCGGGCAAGCCCTCGGGGAATAGTTCCCTTTCGCAGGTTTGATAAAAGAGCTATCCCACTCACAACCAGTGGATAAGTGTATACTATATGCCCAGGCCATATTCATGTCAATTCTGGGCATAAAAATTTCACAAAATAATATAAAAACTGTGGAAAACAGGATCTTTTATGTGGAAAAAAGATATCAGTCTTGTTTAAAGTCAACATTTTGCAAGTTCTATGGTCAATACGATGACTTTTCCAGCAAATATAGTCTTTTGTCAAGTGTGTAGTATTCATAGCATATTTCTTATGTGTGATTAAATAGCTAATTTAAATCAACTACATGCACTATAAATGTTCACAAGACATATTAACTTTATGTTTACTGGAATGGTCTTTTGGACCGGGGATGACCTATTAATGGTAATTTAAACTAAAGATGACCTACTAATGTTCACATGACATATAAACATTACTGTTTACAGGTATGGTCATTTGGACTGGAGATGACCTATAAATGTTCATGTGAGGTATTAACATTAATGTTACAGGAATGGTCATTTGGACCGGGGATGACCTGTCCAGTAAAGGTGTGGGGGATGACATGGAATGGAACTGGATCCTTCACAGTCTGTTCAGTGAAGGGGAAATACAGGAACACAACCTGAACATGGCGGGCACCGTGGCTGGTATCAGCGTGGGGTGCTTCGTCCTGGGAAGTCTGCTGGGGTTTGCCTTGGGGTGCGGCATTATGAGGAAGAGAATGCGAACCAATAAAGGTCTCCGTCTGCCATTCCAGAGGGACGAAGAAGAGACGGATTTCCATGACGATGATAATGCTCTGTAATGTTGTTAAATTTGTGTTTGTTCACAAAATTACTATAAGGTGAAAGTTGCCATTATGTCAATCAGATTGAAGGTTCGTTAGAGTTTTAATGAGTAGAGGGATAAGGGTCTTGTAATGAATAAAAAAAAAGACACCCTTTTAACATCTTAAGAACCATGCAGTGTTTTTAAAGCAAGACCATTGTTTATTTTTTAACACATTGTTCAAAGAGTAAAATCATTATTATTCTTCACTTATAAAAGTCATAATTTTATTGTTATTACCAGTATGTTTATCCAAGTTTATATGTTTGATATCAGTACTCTCAAATTGATATTTGCTGTTGTATTAATGGGGTTGGATACCAATAAGGATGAAATGGTTTGATACCATATCAGTATTTTTAAATTGATGTGGTATTTCTTAATTACACCTCAATCAATTTATTGATAGAATGAAATTAATTTGACTCAATATGTATTGTAATATGCTCAATGTCTTTACAACTTCAAACGGTATTTCACTTTTTAAGTCATCAAAATAAAAGTTAATGTGATGATGTAAAATTAGAAGAAAAAATTCACAAATCTGAGTCTAGTATGAAATGAATCATGCTTCTTGCACTTGCGAAGACCTTTCTGTATATGATGACATTATGTTGCAAAATCCAAGCTTGTGAGTTCAAATGATAATAAAAAGGGCATGAAATGAAACTGTATTTTACAAGTAAATATTGAAATATCTATTACAAATACTGATACAGAGATCTGGAATCCAACCCTATGTTTAAATTAGATAGTTATCAGAATATTCTAGTAGTTAGAATCTCATTCCTATATAGAACTTAAACAGAAGACTGTTCAAATAGTCAATCCATATGTACATTCCATTTTTTATACACAGTCATGCATGCTCATTTTGTATTTATTTATGCAATAATTTATGTGCAATGATGTATACATATGCTTATGTGATAAATTCAATGTAATTTGTATATATAGAGATACTGTACCAAACTATTAATAGGATTAAGTCCCACCTAGAATATTGAATTTCTTCATGACAGACTGCTGCAGAAAAACCATAGCAATATATTTTTAGTTTCATTTAAGATAGATATATGTATGATCTCTGAATAGTTGCTTTAATATGATTGATGTTTATAGTAGCTTTCAATGAAATCTTTTTCTCCAAGTACAGATTTCTTTTTTTTAAATTTACAAATTATAATTTTTCCTCATTCACACATTTTTGGCTTTTGTAACTTGATAAGATTTAGAAACTTCATTGTAACATGACTTGGCACAATTTTTTTTTCTTCAAATTTTAGGGTTGCTGACAAAATCTGTATGGTGGTCTTGCATTAACATGTACAGTGTGTATTGTATCACTAGTGGTCAACAAACATATCATATTTAATATAATTTATACAATTTTTAAAAACTTTTTTGAATGTTTTATTATTTTTCATATGTATATTTTGATGTGACAGTTTATGAACTGTCAATGTTGTGTTGTTCTGCAATCGTTGTGTTTTTTTAGTGACGTAGAAAGTTTTACTTGGTCTGTGGTTGCAACATTTTTAAAAAATCTTTTAATAAAGTCTGTTGATATAAATTTTTACACTCGACCAACATATCATGAGTATGTGTCCCAAATAACCATTTGAGAAACAAACATCACCGTTCTTTGACCAGAAGCCCATCCCTCTTGCAAAAATGAGATTTTCTTAATTTCATGCTGAAGGTTAAATAACAATATTAAATGTAGTTTATGCATAAACTACTGTGAACTCACTAGTTTTCATTTTTTGCAAGGTAGATTCATGAATTAATGTCCACAACTACATGTAAATGTAAAATTTTATATACATGTACATGTACATAACTACTCAACACTCCACCAACCACAAATCAATCCCCCCCTTCAATTTTTCATCAAACCTCCCAAATTTGACCCCATGAAAATTAATTTGTGTTTTCTCAGTCTACAAAGGACTTTGAATTTTGATTAGTATGTGTGTTGAAATTTTCATTCTTTAATTTTCGAGAATCAAGTGCGCGAGAACAATGGTGCAAGTACCTAAAATATTAAATGAACAATTTTACCTAATTATTGTATATAATGACATTAAGTATTGTAATCAGCAGTGATATTTCATCCCCTCCCCTCTTTGATGTAAATGTATTAAAAATTTATTTTTGTGAAAGAATTTGAGTGTATTAAAATCAATTCAACTTCAATGTGACAGATATGCTGAAATTTATATACCAATTTTGTATGTGCTCTAAATACTGCTTATAATCGGTAAAGATATTTTTTCTTCCTATACACATTAAAGTGTACTCGTCATAATATTCAAATGGTCATTTTATACAAGCTACATATTTATAAGCAGAAATATTTTTGCCTATACAATTTGGGGAAAAAATGTACTGCATTCATTAACATTTTGTTTAATGTAAAAGTGAAAGATTTTTTTAAAAACTGTAATTAAATGCACAGGTACTTGTGGACAGGGCCACCATCCCCCCAAAATATCCCACTATACATCTCTCTTATAATGTATAGTGGAGTATTTTTTTGTGGAGCGATTATTTTGGGGTTTTCATGATTTTTTCCTATTGCTCATGATTAATAAGTGTAATAAATATAATTTGTGAAAAAAAATGTCCAACAAGCCCCACAAGTACCTGTGATCAAATGGAATTCAAAATACAACTTGACCAAGATAAGATTATTTGTAGAGAAAATAGGTAGATACATGTACATTATTTGTGTATTTTTAAGTGCTTTCCAGTGTGACCAGGTTAAACTACAATTTTCTTTTTCCATTTTCTAAAGTTTTGATAACATATCAATGCCATGTTCTTTCAAATTTGATGTTTTGCACGAGTTTTAAAAACAGCCTTTTAGATTTTTTTGTAATGCTGAATTTGGAATAATTATAATCAAATCTTGCAAAGTAAAAGGAGTCTTGTTATCTTTTGAATATTAAAAGGATACTGCTGTTTCAGAGTCTGTACATATGTAGATATGACATACTGGCAACTTAACAATACATGTAGTACATGTATTTTAAAAATTGGATTTAACTTGCTCTGAATGGACTTTTGTGAGAAGCACTGATTTTAACAGTTGACAGTTTACTTTGACATTTAAAATTGTACATGTATCATGTATGGAGGTACGGAATCGATAATAGATCAGAAAACCATTTTAGTGGTCATACTTATGGTGTAAGGGGTACTAAAATATGAAGGCCAGGAGTTGATAGAAGGGTGGATGTCGTTTTCTTCAAGGACAACTTATCTGTGCTTCGAAATAACCCATTATTTTAGTAAAAGAGCTTAATTCCTCACTTTGTCGTAGTCTATAAGTAAGCCATCAGCTGTAAAAGTTAGCGCTCCTCATAAAAGTCCCAATAACCAGTCATATGAAACGAAATGAAATATTGTCTATAAAATTAACATTTAAAATACATACCAGTAGTTACATACTTATAGACATCAAAATACATAGTTACGTACTTCTAGACAACATACCTGTTTTACAAATCAACAAATTCTATTCCAGATGTTAATAACAGAGAAAAGAAAGAATTTATGTCATTTCTTCAAGTTCTCTGCATGAAGTGTTCCAAACCTTTCTCTTATACATGTTGTAAAACTTAATGGAAAATGGACCATATCTCAAGAATTTTTATCACAGAGTATCATTGGTCCAAGGGTTTTCATATATATACTATGACAAGGGATGCAAGGCATTAACAAGGAGAGATAAGAAAAATTCTCAAAAATCACATGGAGACTGGTCCTTTGGATGAGACCATATAAACCAAGGTCCCATGTTGCAGTAGGTGCTGGCACACAGAAGACCCCCAAATGCTCAATGGCCCCGAGTGCGGAGTATAGGACAAAATTTGAAGCTCTCCACCGGCAAGTGTTGGCATCTCTATATGAGTGAAAAAAATCTGAAACTTTTTTCTCATCCCCAAGTGCTAAACATTCAAAAGTTATGACCAAGGTTAAAGTTTATTTTGAAATTGTGTCAAACTCCCAAGTCAAGGCTAAAGGTAAAAAATATTAGTTCCTAGGGGAAGGCATTGTCATGAAATACAAAGCCTTAGCCCAAACTGTTCAAAAGATAAAGCTAAGGTTAAAGTTTTGGGGGCAAAGCAGGTCAAACTTAAATGTCAAGGTCAAAATTGTTGGTATCAAAAGGAAAATACTGGTACATCTGTAAAAAAGGAAAACCCTGAAACCAACTTTATAAAAGTTATGACAAAAGGTTAATGTGTTTAAAAAGGTGGGTAAAACAATATTTAGGTTTGATAACCATGTGAAGTATAAAAGCTGTATCACCAATTGTCCAAAAGTTAAGGCCATTTAGGTTAAAGTTGGTAAGTTATTTGCTCTTCCCAGGCAGGTCTCACTGTAACTGCATAGTGCAAAATGTAGAAGTAGGAGAAATGAGGCCCATGGGCCACAACACTCACCTGAATAACTAAACCCTTCACCAGACTTTCTCCCTTAAAATATCTATTGTGGCCCTACCCACAGGGGGTCATGATTTGAAGAATATAGAATCTACACTACTCCAAGATACTCCACATTTCTAGTCTAACAGTTCTTGAGAGGAAGATTTTTTCTCTTGATATTTCAAAGTAAAACTTGGACTTCCCAGGTTTCCCACTATCGTTGATGTCCCTGGCATACTATACTAACTAGAGAGTGATTCCTTATATTTCCATTTCATTGTGAAATAAAATTGTACATTTTTAAAATGTAGACAAATAGACTTAAATTACATGAGGCCTCCCACATCAATTTCAAAAGTCCTCTTCCACTGACGTCATGCAAACACAAAGACAGCCACAAGAGATTTACATGCATTTTTGGCCTACTTAGCATCAGACACAAAGACAGACAAGCATGAGATTTACATGCATATTAGGCCTCATTGGCCCCTGACCTATCAATTTGCCTAATTTACATTCAGGTGGAATTATCAAGAAATCAACTTCACTATCTTTCAAAGAGGGAAATACATGTAATGTAATATCAACTTCTTTACTGTATACTACACTTGTACAAATCACAAAACATAATACATGCATTTTTTCACAAAATTTATTCACTGAAAGACAGCTTCGATGAAATAATCATTTAAAAATATATACAGTGTGTACATATATTTTAACAGGCTCATGATGATTAAAATCACTGTATAATCCTATGCCAAAAGCATTCTTTTTGATTATGTATAAAATGTGTTTGAATATCATGTTAAGGAGCTTCACTAACCATGCTGGAAATTGTCATCTTGATAAAGTGTTCTTCAATGTTCGGTGACATGAAATGTATGATTTTGGCAAAATGAGGTTAAAATGTTCATGTGCAAACCAACACAGCCATTGGCATTTTTTTTATTGCTTCTTTGTCTCCTATTAAGGAACATTTTAGAAATCATCATAAGCAATTCTAATTATCAGGGACGGAGACAAAAGCAAAATAGCTTTTGCTTAAAAATTATCATTTGTTCTGCTTCTCTTTTAAACACTGTGTGACCTACGTTATTAGTACTGTTCAATTTTGAGACTGCTACAATTAAAAATACATACCGCAGTATGTAAAAATAATTTAATTCTGGTTGTATCGCTGTATTTGATTGGATAAAAAATTTACTTCATATCATATAAAATGGGTTGCCTACGTCTCAATGACTTTCGTCAAAAATGTATCAATCCGCCTAACGTTACATTTAAATTTTGTACAAATTGAAGTCATTTTGTTAGAACAATCATCTTTTTTTCTTACATCAAATGGATAAAAATTAAATTATCAGCAATGAATTTAATAGCTACCAATTTTATACCGTATAAAATGGGTTACTATTAAATTCATTACTTAAATATATACAAATTGAGTAAACCAACTAATATTAATGATTTGTCTGCCTAAAATGCATCTTTCATAGCTAACCACAGAGGGACTAATTTCTACATGGTTTCAACAGTAACAAAGAAAAAAAAGGGGGGGAGGGGAGGTCCTGACACTCATGTTTATTTTTTGCACACGAATAAAAGTTGGTCTACAGTATTCCTGACTTACACAATTATATACATGTATTTACAATGTATACCTGATTTGGTGCTTCAGATCTAACAAAGCCATTAAAAAACATTAACTAGAACTTTCCAAACGGGACAAAATACCCCCCGCTGGGTTTTTCAGAAGTAAGTTTTTCCTTAATAAAGATATGTATCAAACATGAATTATGAAATTTTTCTTCCAGTGACCTTGAACTTCCCCAAATGACCTTGGGTCAAGGTCATGACACACCCTTGGGTCATGGGCAATCTTTGTGTGAAATGAGAACCTACCAAGTTTATCCATAGGAAAGATATGGACAGGACACGAATTATGAAATCTTTCTTCCAGTGTCCTTGAACTTCCCCAAATGACCTTGGGTCAAGGTCATGACACACCCTTGTGCCATGGGCAATCTTTGTGTGAAATGAGAGCCTACAAAGTTTATCCATAAGAAAGATATGGACCGGACACGAATTATGAAATTTTTCTTCTAGTGACCTTGAACTTCCCCAAATGACCTTGGGTTAAGGTCATGACCCATCCTTGGGCCATGGGCAATCTTTGTGTGAAATGAGAGCCTACAAAGTTTATCCATAAGAAAGATATGGACCGGACACGAATTATGAAATTTTTCTTCCAGTGACCTTGAACTTCCCCAAATGACCTTGGGTCAAGGTCATGACACACCCTTGGGTCATGGGCAATCTTTGTGTGAAATGAGAACCTACCAAGTTTATCCATAAATATGGACCGGACACGAATTATGAAATTTTTCTTCCAATGACCTTGAACTTCCCCAAATGACCTTGGGTCAAGGTCATGACACACCCTTGGGTCATGGGCAATCTTTGTGTGAAATGAGAACCTACCAAGTTTATCCATAAGAAAGATATGGACCAGACACGAATTTTGAAATTTTTCTTCCAATGACCTTGAACTTCCCCAAATGACCTTGGGTCAAGGTCATGACACACCCTTGGGTCATGGGCAATCTTTGTGTGAAATGAGAACCTACCAAGTTTATCCATAAGAAAGATATGGACCAGACACGAATTATGAAATTTTTCTTCCAATGACCTTGAACTTCCCCAAATGACCTTGGGTCAAGGTCATGACACACTCTGAGGTCATGGGCAATCTTTGTGTGAAATGAGAACCTACCAAGTTTATCCATAAGAAAGATATGGACTGGACACGAATTACGAAATTTTTCTTCCAGTGACCTTGAACTTCCCCAAATGACCTTGGGTCAAGGTCATGACACACCCTTGGGTCATGGGCAATCTTTGTGTGAAATGAGAACCTACCAAGTTTATCCATAAGAAAGATATGGACCGGACACGAATTATGAAATTTTTCTTCCAGTGACCTTGAACTTCCCCAAATGTCCTTGGGTCAAGGTCATGACACACCCTTAGGTCATGGGCAATCTTTGTGTGGAGTAGTAGATTCTAATGTCCCTCTGTAAGAAAGATATGGACCGGACACGATTGCACAGACAGACGGACAGACAGACAGACAGACAGATGGACAGACGGACAAGGTGATTCCTATATACCCCCCAAACTTCATTTGCGGGGGGTATAATAATACATTAATTTAAATATAGACAACAAAGATTGAAATGTACACAATAAAATCACTTTCACCAATACTGGATAAAATAATGTCTTTAAATAATTGCACTTCATTTCAAATGACAAGCTTAAAATCTTACACTTCTATATCTTTGAAGACACCAGTTAAACATATAAATATATATATACCTTGAAACATGATGGGAACAATTTGCCTTTTATACCCTTTTTTGGGGGAGGGGCAAAACTGTGATGTGTGTCAATGGCACAACATAGTGGGTTAATTATTCCTCCCTAATTACTGCTTGTTCATCAGCTCTTAAATAAAACAAGCACAGCTTCTTCCCAAGTTTACTACAAATTACTGTTCAAGTTAGAGTAACTAGTCTTATTGTCCCATTATTGATTTGGAGTACATGTATTTCCTCCTTACCCAAAATCACTCAAATTACCCACTAGCAAGTACGACCATAAGAAGATATAACATTTCTTACATTGACTTTCAAAATAGATGACCATGTTACATGATGCAAGCATAAACAAACAGAGATGAGCTGCATGCATGTCCCCTTCTTCAAAAGAACATGGGGAAAAGAATCTGTCAAGTTGAATCTGGGTCATTTTCCTCTGTCATCTGTCCATTTTCTTTCTTGGTTTTTCACCTTTGAAGTTCATCATCATCAGTTGATATTATTCTCAGCAACTCCTTTGCATAATGACTTTCTTCCTACAATCAAAAAGAAAAATTAATAAACAAGACATCAGTTTTAGGATCATAATTTTTTTGCAATCAGGTCAAACCCTTGATAGTACAAATTGGGCTGGGAAGCTTAGTTGACACACTGCCACACCTAGGAATGTATACTCCTGGCAAGTTCCAATAGCCTTCCCAAGCTATAAAGTGGAAGTTTCTGATAATGTTTCCAATGGTAGGGACAAGAATCTTCTGAAAAGATGGTTGGTACTGTTCAAAGTACTGTTGAATCCATACTACTAGTTGATACTGTTGAAATCAAACTAGTTGATATTGTTGAAATCAAACTAGTTGATATTGTTGAAATCAAACTGTTTGCTACTGTTCAAATCAAACTGGGTATTACCTGGAATAATGGTATTTTCATGTACATGGAATCAAATGGACAGAAATACCACAAATTTTCATCACAATTCACAGAAAAAAAGATATACTGTACATGTACATAAATTGGCATATTCAAAATTAGCACAATCACTGGGTAGTGAGTGGTTATTGCAATCATGAATTAGTGCTAAACATGTCCGCACTTTAAATTGTATGTATGAATTTTTATGGTATTCATGAATTAGTGCATTGTTGTCCGCACCAAAGCCGTAAAAATATGAAGTCCGCTTTTTTTTTAAGTACACATAAAGTATTGTTTCAATCTCTTGTGTTTATCCAGAAAAACTACCAATGAAAACAATGTACCTGTATCTGAACAAACACAAGAGCAATGCACGTTAAATTCATCTATTAGAAGTTTCTTGACACATACCCTAAATAAGAATTTAATGTTGATTTTAAAATTTCTAAAAAAGTTGACATTAACCCTGAATTCATCCTTGTCCTTCAGAAACTTGATCCGCTCCTGTAATTTCTTTTCCAGCTCCAGTTCAGGCCTCTGGCATTCCTCTATAGCCCTCTGATGGTCTGTTACTATAGCCAGAAGGGCTGACAGGTTGTGTTCGTGAAATGAATTGTGCTCCTCACTTAAAACTCCAACTAACTGGTCAATCATTCCAGTGTCACACATCACATCTGAAAAGTAAAAGAATACATGTATTAACATACAGGTATAATGATAGATTCTGATTACAGATAGAAACTAGGGCTGGATTCCCGAAAACAAGTGCCGGAACAATTAACACCTGAAAGTAGAGTAGGTTTTACTATAAAAACTCAAAAAGAGAGACTAGTCATACCAATAGGTGATTTAAATAATTTGGTAAAATTGTTTTCTAGTCAGGAAACTACTTTAAACTTCTTATAATGTTGCCATTTCTAAGATTAAATGAAAATATTCTTTTTGTTGTTGGAAAATACAAATCATGAGCTTTATTTAATGGAAGGACCCGAAAAATTTTGGAACCATGACGGCCCTATTACATTCCCTAAACAAATGCCCTTCAGCACCTGCAGATGGTCACCCAATATAGGCATTAGTCATAGCCAATATGCTCAACGATCTTTTGTATAATAATAAATCTATTTAATATCAAGTTCTTCAAAATTTGACATTAACTAAACCTATACCTTTAAAATCTGGCCTCTTGGCACATAAAGCTGATAGCATAAATGCTGCTTTGATTCGTAGTTTTTCTATGTCTGTCTGCATGGCTCTCATCAGCACAGAGAAACCATCATGCCTTTCAAAGATTTTTTGGGCTTCAACGTTGTCTCTTGAAAGGCCTGAAAAATCATTCAAAGTCTCACATTTGAACTTTAAAAACATATAACATCTTTAAAAACTGCTAATATTTTCCTCCATCAAATTTGATTTTTAATCACAAGGTCTCTAAAACATTTTCCCCCATCTAAACAGGATCAACAATGAGAACAAACTGAAAATTTCACAGATACAAAAAGCCCTTTTGAACAGATTGATAAGTATACTGAATCAATACTTCCTTATCCTTGCTACACTTACATGATATAGCGTACAGAGCCTTTATTTTCACATTTGGGTCTTCATCTTTATCCAGAATATCTAGCATCAGAGTCAGCCAGTTTTCTTCCAGTGCTTTCACCTGACAGAAAGGGTGGTTCTGAACCAATATTGCTATCAAATCCAGGGTCCTCCACCTTACTTCTGGTGTCTTGTGTTTTAGTAATACTTTAATTACTGGGTATCCACCGATCTTGTAGAAATCTGTACAATACAAGCTAATTCAGAGAATTCGTGTCCCCCGCTTAGGGAAAAAGTCGGCTCCCCCTGACTGAATTTGTAGAATTATTAAATGTATACATGTATACTGAAGGAAATAAAATACATGTATGTCAATATGCATATAAAGATTTGATTGCTTATTCTTTATTATGTGTATAGAAGATTTTTTTATATGGAATATTTATCACACTGTAATGATGATTTTATAACCTCATAAATTTTTCATTTCACATGCTGAATACTATCATTTAGTAAAAAAAAAAGTATTTAAAAAAAAAAAAAAAAAGAAAGGTTCGCCCGAGATTCGATCCCGGGACCTCTCGCATTTGAAGCGAGAGACATAACCACTAGACCACGGAGTCGCTTTACACAGGGTGAAGTATATGCAGAATTGAAGTCACATACATGTATATATTCATGTTTTCATGTTCGGTATTCTCAAAATTTTACACAATCCATGGTGTTTGATTTATTTAGCCTTTATTAAACAGTTCTAATAGATGTAATAAGAACATAAAGTCCGCCGAGAACCTGTTTTATACGCAATAACTCTCCTCATGCCCCTGCGCTAAAAATAGCGACATGTAATACTATAAATACTAATAAAACAAACGGGGCGGGGCACTTTGAGAGGGGAGAGACGTCCTAGGGAGTTTTGGTGTAAAATTACATTGCATAAGCTCAAAATCTTCTTGAAATATCGCCCGGAAATGATAGTGTTACACACAGACAGAATGTATAAATTTACGACCTTGAACTTTGACCTTTTGACCTCAAAATCAATAGGGGTCTTCTTTAGGCCACAGGGAGCTGTTATGTAAAATTTCATTGCAATAGCTTGGTTCTAGAGATATCGTGTGGAAACGAAAGTGTTTTAACAGACAGAATTTGCTTATTTATGACCTTGACCTTTGACCTTTTGACCTCAAAATCAATAGGGGTCTTCTTTAGTCCATAGGGAGTTGCTATGCTAAATTTCATTGCAAAAGCTCAAAGGGTTCTCGAGATATCGTGTGGAAACGAAAGCGTTACAGACAGACAGAAAGACGGACGGACGGACGGACAGACGGACGGACGGACGGACGGACGGACAAACCCAAATTAATATCCCCCACTTTTCAAGCGGGGGACAAAAAGAAAGAATTGCGGACTAAGACAAGCAAAATTCAATCATATTTTATGTACAAAGTCTCAATTACCTTGTTCTCAATAAAATTTTCAATTTCATTTTCCAAACATACTTTTTAAAACCTGAAAATTCAAAATAAACATCTGAGAAAAATTTAACTAAAGGAGGCTAATACATACCAGAAGCAAAGTCTATTGTTTCACACCATTCTGCTGTTTCCTCTATAGCTGCAATAATTTTCTTGTCATCACTGTCTGGTGAAGTCAGAATTTGCAAGCAAGCCTTCATTCTTTCAACTGGACTAAATGTCAAGTCAGTAATAGCATTCTCCAACCACTGACGTCGCTGTAACCGAAATAAAATTCAAAACAAACTTAATACTTCACATTTTTGTTAAAGATAATGCCATCACAGTAGATAGCTATAAAATTTAGGTAAACAGATCTGCTGTATCCAATACCTTTTTTCTTAGAATAGATGAAGGATTTTAAAGATAACACATACAAGTAATAAACAACAATTAACAGTTGTGACAATTAAGATCACAAATATCAACGTTAATCGTAACAGATTAACAGTAGATGTAATTATATCATATTAACAGTAGCGACAGGATATTATGAGAACATTCACAACGTACTGAACATCCCTTTCATTGACAGATCCTTCTATTATTTTGAAAGATCTTTCATCTTTCCATAGCATCTAGGATATGCACAACACGAGGTCCTATATAAATTCACATTCATGTTCAAGAGGACACTTTAAGTATCCATTTTCTTTGGTCGTTAAGATAACCTTGTGAATCATTTAATTAAACATTATATTCAAAACCCATTAATGATGATGAAGTTGTTTACCTCTTCAGGCATCGGTTGCGCAACATTTTCTTGCTCCTTTTTATCCTCATTCTGTACTTCCATGCACATATGTAGCAGTGCTCGTACATCCTTGGGTGGCCTCCTGTCTCCAGGTGGTCCCCCGCCACCAGAACCCCCGCTTTCCATTCCTGATCAACAATTACGTTATGTTATTACTAAAAAAAAACATGGAATTTAGAAAACACCAGAAACTTCTGAAAGCCGCTCTTTGGTTGTTGTGATTTTTGTTTACATTTGTGATCTTTTAATCTTAGACAAGTAGTTTACATTATATAATCTAAACTTTCTAAATATAATCCATGAATATTGTATGACGATACATTTCGTTAGTTTTAATTATTTGGTTTGAAACGTTTCCGTTTATTGATTACGACATTTGAAAGCGAGGGTGTGGGTAAAAGAAGGAGCGTTGCAAAGTTAACAAGTTCTCACGTTTTCATTGGGTGTAGGTAGTTATCTGTGTATTTTTCCATTATCCCGCTTAGGATCTTTAGGTAATGACAAAGCCAGCATTTTTTTTTTATAGCGTATCCGTTAAATTTAATTAAAAATGGCTAAATGCACATCTCTTCATCTCTCAGCTTCATCATTCAGTGTCATGTTGCATAGGCCCAGGGCAGGCACACTCAAAGTTATGTTTAACCTTATTACGTTTAATGAATTTTAATACAGTGTTTGCATATTTGTGATAGTAATACAGAATATGGGAGTCTAACTTTTCCTAAACCCTTTGTATTAAAAAAAAGGGGGGGGGCAGATATAGTAGATGTGGGAAGTTAACATGTCACCATGTCTTCTTCCTCCCCCAGCCCCAAACCCCCACTCCCATGCATCCATGGACCCATCCTATCTTCTCCAACTCCTCTTATTTTGCATCTTTTAAAAGTTTCCTTATCTTTGAAAACAACAAACAAAAAACAAAACAAAAAAAAGAAAAAGAAAAGAAAATAGAGATCAAGTACTAGCATAAGTGATCATTTGTTACATGTGATCTAAATTTCACTGAATAGATTGCATGATACAAGTTTTACTACATGTACACTTGTATATATCTTTTTTATGATTTCGGTATATATTGGCCAAATTTGTCTTGATGGGTGATATATATATTGAATCTGTTAAACAAGACTTATATTATGATACATACAAGCATACAAGATGAACTTTAAAATTCATTTCAGATTTGGTTGCCATAAATCATGCCAGAAGACATGGAGCATATCCAAAAAGCCATACGAGAGGACCTGCAGAAGAACAGGCAATATGTTAAAGCCATGGAGGATTTTTCACAGATGAAAACCAATGAGAAGCGAGTGCAGTTTGCTCTGTCCTTACCATTTGTGCAGAACCATATACATCTTGAAGAATATGACAATAGCAAAAATTCAGAAGAGGCATGTCAACTCAGGACTCAAGGAAACCAATTCTTCCAGAAGAAAAATTATGTTAAGTCCTTAAAACTGTACACAGCAAGTGTATTGAAGGCCCCAGTGACAAATATGGATTGTTTTGACCAATCAAATTCTAATACAGAAAGCAATGATGTAGAGCTAGCCAATGCTTTTGCAAACAGGTCTGCCGTCTTGTTTCATCTTGACAAATATGAAGCTTGTTTGAAAAATGCAGAACTTGCTTTCCGTTGTGGTTACCCCAAAGAAAATCATTACAAGCTACATGAACGCCAAGGAAAGTGTCACAGAAAACTAAACAATTTAACCAAGGCTAAGAAGTCATTTGAATCAGCTGTTAAGTCGTTGGAGTCGTCCACTCTCGATGAGAAGAAAAGACAGCATTTTACTCAGAACTTGGAAAGTCTTATTAAAGAGCTTAATAGTGTAGATTGTAAAGTGGATTTAGAAAAGGAGCTAGAAGATGATTGTAGGAAATCTGTGAATTGTAATCAATTGGATGTGCCTCAGATTGATAAAAAGGAACAAAATCCTGTTTTCATGTCAGCTAGTTCTAAAATTGCCTTACGAGAGAGTGCTGAAATGGGGCGAGGGCTGATGGCATCTGCTGATATTAAAGTTGGAGAAGTTATAGCAGTGGAAAAACCTTACGCATCTGTCAATCTGTCAGAAAGAGAACAAGAATACTGTAGTCACTGCAGTATGAGGGTCGAGTGTCCTGTGCCCTGTCAACAGTGCTGTGATGTTGCTTTCTGTTCTCTCCAATGTCAGGAGGAAGCATGGTCCGAATATCACAGAACGGAATGTAAAATTATAAGACTTGTTCAGAGTATGAAATCAAAGTTGGGACATCTAGCCCTCCGAATGGTGATGATAGCAGGCTTTTCATATTTAATGCAAGAACGAAGTAACTTTTGCAGTGATGATGTGTCGGAGGACCTAGGGTACAATAAAGATGGCTGTTATGACTCGGAGGATTATCATGCTCTTTACACTCTGGTGAACCATGGGGACAAAAGAACACCTGAAGACTTATTTAACAAAGCAGTTCAGACAGTGTATTTATTGAAGTGTCTGGAGTTAACTCCCTTCTTTAAGAATTGCCCTGTAGGGCAGGAGGAAGAGGCAAGATGTTATATAGGAGGGCACATTTTGAGGCAGATACAGATGCTGCCCTGTAATGCCCATGAAATTTCAGAAATCCACTGGAAGCCAGGGGACCCCACGATTACAGAAACAGTGGAGGTGGGATCTGGAGCCTATGCTCTTCTTAGTCTCATCAACCATTCTTGTGATCCGTCAGTGGTTCGACACAATTACGGCAATGTCTGTGTTGTCAGAGCAATTAAGCCCATTCATAAAGGGGAGGAAATTCTTGATAATTATGGAGCAATTTATCCTTTGACCACCAGAGCTGAACGAAGGGCAAAACTAAGACCACAGTATTACTTTGATTGCAATTGTGATGCTTGTCAATTGGATCTTCCTCTTTACTTTGATATCCCTGAAGACATCCCCGTGTTCAAATGCCAAGAGTGCACTGGACCTATTTTCATTTTGCCTGACAAACATATCTCAGATTCTGAGTGTTCAAGCTGCCACAGAAAGCAAGACCTGACTGAAACTGTGAAAAAATTACAGGATTCGACCAACCAATATCACGTTGCATTGGAGCAGGTGCTAGCAGGGGTCGACATGGAGACCGCATTAATGACATTATTGAATCACCTTGAATTCCTGATGACTCGCATTTCTCTACCATGGAGAGACATCAATAATTGTCAAGAAGCAATAAAGCAGTGCTTTGCTACACAAGCTAATTCTTATATCCTACCTTGAGTGAACGTTTGCATGACAGTGTTTTATGATGAATGTTAAAGTGGACATTTTCTCAATAGTCTTGTCTGGATGCTCTAGGTTTAGGCATTGATTTTTCCCCCCATTTGTATTGTTAACATCCCATGCCAGATAATGTTTATCACTTTCTCAAGACTAATAAGCTTCTCATTGTCATGAAAAATTATGAGCGACTTACAAATTTTTGAATTGTTGCTTCTGGAGGATTTTAAAATGTTAAAATGAAAATGATGAGGGTACTATATTGTTTGTATATGTCTTGAAATTTGAGAAGGAATGTTTTTATTCAATTGGTGCTTTATCTAATTAAATATTGATTAAAATGAATCTTTACGTTCCCTTATCACGTGCTTATATTATTGAATTCTCATGTGGTTTAATGAAAAAAAAAAATCTGAAGCAGTTTCCTAATTAGTACCATCTAACTAATCAATTACTAATTAATTACTTGATATAAAAGTTGGAAAGCTAAAACCGTATTGTAAGAAAATACCCTTAAAAGTAGGCTTTTAATGGAAATTATATTAAGATGAAAGTTACAATGTACATTATATTTGTCCGGAAAGTAAAAAATGGTCCATTTAGCATAGGGGATATCTGATTGCTATTGGATTTCAATTATTTAAACTGTCCAGTTAGATCTTGGCAATTTTCATCAGTGAAATGTACAATTTATCAGAATGAAAGCCATTAACAGCACTGTTAGTAAATTGGGGTCAACGTACAACAGATTCCGAGGCAATTTACCAGCGTCATGTTCACATGACTATTTTTTGTCCATGTAAATTAATTCAGAAACGGACTTCTTCTTTAGATGCAAAATCTCACTGGTACTTGCATGAAGCATTCAGTTAATTTTGTAATTAATAGAATTTATGATGAAATACTTTAATGGTAGAGTTAATGTAAATGAAAAGATATAAAAGTAGCAATTGTCATGGATCAGTACATATAGTTGTAATTTGTGTCCATTAGGTGGTCAGTTTACTAGTTTGCGACTTATTTGAAAAAAATGAAAAATTTGCCAACTGTACTCATATTTCTCTTGTGGAGACTTCATTCTTAAATTAAGTTTGGTTGGTTATTCTGTGTTATCATTTAATAGATGAAGCCTGTCTTGGGAAAGTAGGATTATCCTGTGTAGCTTTGAGATTGAATAGAAAGAATATATTTCAGGTGTATTATGTACATGTAATTTGCATTGTACTGCATCACTTTATAAGGATAGTACAGTGAAATCTGATATTGGGCTTTTAATTTGTATTAATATAATAGAGCAAAATTTGGTCTTGGACATCCTGTCTATTGATTAAACATGTCAGATATCTCATGGTGACCTATTGTTATCTCCAACATAGCATACAAATTTAATTTAATCCGGATGCTACTTTAAAATCAAGATCAATGCATATGTCCATGATTTTTAGCTCTACTGGTCAGAGACTGCACTAAGATACATAAATTAGTGCATCGGTTTCTGATTTCGATGAACGGTGCTGCCATGGTTACTAAAAATAGAAATTTCTGTGAAATTCATTTAAAACACTACTCCTTCTACATTTTTGGTCTGATTTCAGTATAACTTGGCACACAAGTAGAATACACTAAGATACATAAACTTGTGCATCGGTTTTTTGAATTCGATGAATTTGTTGAACGGTGTTGCCATGGTTACTAAAAATAGAAAATTTTGAGAAATTCCTTTAAAACGCTACTCCTTCTACAGTTTTGGTCTGATTTCAATATAAGTTGGCACACAAGTAGAATACACTAAGATACATAAACTAGTGCATCGGTTTTTGATTTCACTGAACGGTGTTGCCATGGTTACTAAAAATAGAAAATTTCGAGAAATTCCTTTAAAACGCTACTCCTCCTATAGTTTTGGTCTGATTTCAATATAACTCGGCACTCAAGTAGACTACACTAAGATACATAAACTAGTGCATCGGTTTTTGATTTCGATGAACGGTGTTTCCATGGTAAATAAAAATAAAAAATTTTGAGAAATTCCTTTAAAACGCTACTCCTCTTACAGTTTTGGTCTTATCTTAATATAACTTGATACACAAGTAGAATAAACTAAGATACATAAACTTCTGCATCAGTTTTTGATTTCGATGAAAGGTATTGCCATGGTTAATAAAAATAGAAATTTCTGTGAAACTCCTTTAAAATGCTACTCCTCCAACAGTTTTGGTCTGATTTTAATAAAATTTGGCACAAAAGTAGACTATACTAAGTTACATAAACTAGTGCATCGGTTTTTGAATTTGATGAAAATACATAATTCTATTTATGGCTGTCTGTTGCAAAGTTTCAAATCCAGGTGCTACTTTTCCTTTGTTACACGTACAGACCAGTAGAGCTTCAGTCTCATCAGACTTCTGGTTAATCTTTTAGGTGATAAACAAGAGGCCCACAGGTCTTAAGGGTCACCAGAATATTATGGTTCTCCTCTCAATCCTAGCTGAGACAAGAAAACCTAAGTGACAATTTTTGAATTTTAGTATTTTGTGAAGCACTATATTTACTTGTTATGGGAGAGGAGAAAAATGCAGGAATTCTAACCTGTGCCCCTGAATCTCCAGGCAGGTGCTCTATCAGCTAACCCATCTGACTGGCACACTCATCCCTCCTTTAAGGTCTTAGGCCCCTCAAAGACACTAACCCTGGCTCTTCCCTGGCACAGGTCTTTTATCTGTCACTTCCAGGGCATGATATGGCACCAAATGTTACAGAAAGGAAAAAAATGCAGCAGAATTACAGACCAGATTTGAACATGGACCTCCTGAATTTCCAGTCAGGTGCTCTACTAACAAAGCTATCTGGCCACCGGTGTTCAAACCCGCCTGACCGCCACGCATTTATATTCCTGAATATTACTTAATTTATTTATTAACTTATTCATTATTAAATGAATATTGGTCATTATAATTATGTCAACAAGGTTGTTTTTGATGTCCAGGAGTGAAGAAAGTTTAAAAAATTTTATTGGCTTTAAAACATCTCTTAGACCAGGAAATTAAAAATTTTCTTCACAGAATGTTTATACTAAAATTGGGTGGAATTGCTTCATTTGATACAGAAATGATTCTGGAAATGTTCAAATAATGGAAAAAGCATTCATGACCTGGGTCAAGTGTTTAGCAATAGGCGACATCCTTACTCAGGTTGTTAACATCTGTTGAAAATGACTTTTCTTAATTCTGATGTAAAATAAGACATGTTAAAGCTGCCATTGGTGTTGACCGTGAACTTTGACCTCAGATTGGTAACAAAAACCTTTATACTTCAGAATTTGACTAAGGAGGATAATAAGCTTCATGATTATCTCTTCCAGTTTCAAAGATAAATATTTTCAAAAACAACAACTAGGGTTTAATTCATGACCTTTGACCTTATAAATACTATAATTAGCTACAGTTCTGCAGCTAAAAATCAAACTGATTTCTTTAAGCAGATATTTCAACATACTTAAAATATTCAATGTGAATGGCACACATTGCGTTACTTCAAACTAAAGTACAATTCCTGTCGAACAAGGTACTGTTAGTAATATTTTTCAATTTCATACCGCATCTGATGGATATTAGGGAGCACATTTTAAGACTAAAAAAATCCACCTTCAACAATCTGCCCGCATGCTCTTAGGATGATAAAATTTATTAAAAAAAACTTCCACACATTTCTTCACTTTTATTGCAAATAATACTTTTTTTTCTGATTTGAATATTAATGCACTCCTTTGCACCAGCTGCTAGCCTATTACTAATTAACACTTACTTAACAATTTATAAATAAATCTACATCAAGTCCCAGAATTCTCAAAATTTACAGGCATACAATGTGACATGTATATAAAGTATCATTTTTAACTAAAGATCAATACAGTAAAAGTAAATTTTCAGAAAAGGAAACAACAACACATAAAACTTTCATGAAGTTAAAAAAAATTACCTCCTAAACTATTATAACAGTGAACAAAAATCTGAATATATTTTCATTTGCATATTAGCTATAAGTAGTATAATTATTCTAAAAGAAATATTAATATAAAGAGGGGTATCAATTCTTTATTTGAAAAAAAAATTCTCTTTTTACAAAACCAGAACAAGACCAAGTTAAATTTCACAGAATCACTCACTAATCCTTTAAAGTACCCCCCCCCCCCAAAAAAAATGTACCAATAATATGAAAGATTTATTTTATTGCTTCTTCATATAATTTAAATGACACTGGTCTTGAGATGTTTTAAAAACTGCTGTAGTCATAAAGAATTTGTTGCATGCTAAGAAAATTAATGACCTTTAATTTTTTCAACTGACATTTAAGGCATGATTTTTTCCTTATTTCTTTGACCTTGAAATTTGTAAAAAGTTACAAGTTAAAAATAAAAATGTGTGTTGGAAAAGATTTTCATAAATTTCCATATAATTACATGTATTACAATTTTTCTCTTATACATTATGCTTTCTGGAAAAAAAATCATGTTTTAATAGGAACTGCTCCTTGAAATATAATACATGTATCTGTAATTATGAAGAGTTAATATTTTAAAGGAGACATTTTTAAACTCCTCCCCCTATTTCTTAAATAAACAGCATTAACTTTACAAAAGAGCACTGTTGTACAGGACCTTGTGTAGGGTTGAACCATATGGAAGTGCTGTATTTCCTTTCAGGTTTTAATTAAGTTTTAAGGCTACATAAAAAGCATATTTTTATCCGTAATAATGTTGAGCTTTTAAGAACATAAAAGGGCTGAGGTATTTTTTTATCATATCATTCCTAACTAGTAAAGCAGAGATATAAAAGCACTTTAAAATAAATCTCACAAAAAGTATACTTAAAGAATCACTGTCTAGTTAGTATAATATGCCAGGGCATCAACGATAGTAGGAAACATGGGATAATTTGCACAACGGCATATTTGCATAACGGGCAAAGCCCGTTATGCATAAATTATCCCATGTTTCCCACTATTGTTGATGTCCCTGGCATACCGGTACTATACTAACTAGACAGTGATTCCTTATATTTCCATGTCATTTTCTAATAAAATTGTAGATTTAGACTTTTAAAAATGTAGACATACATAAATTAATTTTAATTACACGAGGACTCCCATGCCAATTTCAATAGTCCTCGCCCACTGACGTCAAACACAAAGGCAGCCGCACGAGATTTACATGAATATGTGGCCTCTTTAGCGTCAGACACAGAGACATATGCACATGAGATTTTCATGCATATTAGGCCTCCTTAGCTCCTAACCTATCGACCTGCCTAATTTACATTCTGGTAGAATTATCTAAAAATTAACTCCGCTAACTTTCAAACAATTATCACAGAGAAAAAAATTAGAAATGGAAATATATGTATAAATATCTCTGATATTTATGAAGAGACATTTGAGGTCAGACTGTTTTAGAATTAAATCGATCCTCTTTGTAAATTACATGTATTTTCAGCAATTTTGTAAATTAGTAACTTTAACAAAAAACTACCATCTAAATGTGCAAAAAAAAATATTAATGGAGATAGGTATATGTGTAATAAAGCACTAATAACTACAATTTGAAAAAAAAAATCCATGTCCAGGAATTACAGGTATAAAGTACAGGCAAAACTTCACACAACCTGTATTCTAAAATAAAGCAACTAAACTGAACTCATTTTTAAGCTTAGATGCAATGTACAGGCAGAACTGTAGTGGGTAAATATATAATATTTATAGTAGGCTAATAATAAAATTATGCAATTATATAAACAAACACATAAACATTTCCCTCAAGTCTAGTAGATAATATACACCAATCACAAACTTTGAACAAACCAATGATAAACATTATAAGGACATTATTATGGCCATTATCTGATCTCACAGCATGATTATTGATACAATATAGTCAAAAAGCTATTTCAAATTCTCACAGCATATGCATATCAAATGGAGAGAAGAAAATTATTAAGTACATAGAATCTTGGTAAATTATTTGATTGTTATGTGAAATCTATCCTGTACCAAGATGGCAATTATTCAGCCATCAGTATTCTATCGGTGGTAAATTCTTAGTTTTATGAAGAGTAGTGATATTCCTGGAGTAATAATGTACGTTTTTGTGCTGATTATCATTTATTTATTCTTTGATGTGCTTTGGCTAAGGATTATGTCACGTGTTATAGAGATAAATATATTTCTTTCTTGATCTTTTCCTTTTACATGATGTCACAGTCAAACGCCTATAATTTAATTTGAAATTGACTTTCAAAATATTAATAAAATACCTTGGCAGGCATTCATTTTTTCCCTATAATTTAAGATTTGTGTTCTCAATTTGTACATATAGTTGTGAACTGGTAATTTAAGTCCAACAAATAGCCAATAAATTTTAAATACACTACAACATCCCAACCTCCTCCCCTTTCTTTTATCTACCCCCAAGTCACAATTATAAAGCATTGCATGGTACTTCACACATACACTGCACCTTGTTTTTGTGTAAAAGTCTAATACACAAAAACTGCATGTAAATATAGGAAGTCCTGAAGTAGAATCACATTTGCATAATCTTCAACTGATCCTTAAATGAACTTCAAAAATAAAAACAAACAAATAAACAAAAATACTACTGCTCAACTAATGAAATAAAAAAAAAGATGCAGAACAAATTAAGGGACTACAGATATGTTTCACAACATGGGACAATATTTGCACTTTAAGTATGGAATATACATATAACTATGGCCACTTAGACAGGTTTTATCACTATATACTCAACTTCATCCATCCCTAATGAGATTCTTTAGACAAAAATACTAGTATATTAAAGGTACTGATGTGCTAAATACAGTACAGTAGTCTGATCTTATATTTAAAAATTTATCAACATGTGATGAAACTTTTCTGAGGGAACGTAACACACTTACATCACATTAATATTACAAATGTGACAAAAATTGTAATAATCTATACATTTATTGCATGATTACATGAAATGGTCAATGCTGGGAAAATTTCAGATGTCTCTTTCTCCTGAAAACTGTCCTAAAACAATTGTTGGCAGAAATCTAGTAAAGAAATGCCTATATGTGTCAGGGTTGGCACAGTGATGCATGAATATGAACTAAAATGCTCTACTTTGGCAAGCAAAAAAAATATATGAAAGCATATAATGAAAAAGTTATGAAAAATGTTTTGCAAAATTTTTTAGTCTTTAAAATGCTGCTTGGGTAGTAATGGCCGGGGTACACAACATGTGTCAACTAATTCGTACAAGGAAATGCACATATTTCACAAGAAATCATCATGCATGTAGAATGACCACTATTACTAAACACTAAACCAAAACTTGCAATTTGAAAGGGGAGACATTTTGTAGAATAGCCAACTCTAACGAAAAAAATTATCAACCACTTGACTAAATATTAAGTACAACTGAGTTTTGAAAAGTAGGATCTGGATGACGTTAATGTTTTTAATTAACTAGCTTCCTTTATATTGTTTTCTTCCATTGGTTGGCTGACATCACTATTGGTGGTCTCTTCATTCTTCCCGTCTTCCTCTGTGTCTTCTTCCTCTTCCTCCTCTTCTTCCATCAGTTGTTTGGCGAGTTTTACAGCTTGAAATTCATTGTAATGCAGTTTCCTTTTCTGCTCGAATTGCTTTCTCTTAGCTACAATTATGATGATTTACAAATATAAACAAGTTTTCTTGAATTAATGAACAGTATCAGGTTTTTTCTTACTTTAGATGGAAATACATGTATTTATTGGGTTTAGGTTACAATAGAAGTTTCCATGGTTATAGTTAAGGATATCTGCTTTACTTTGAATTTCTGACTAATCATGAGGCACGCACTGTAGCATTTAATCATAATGTTCATATTACCTACCAAACAAGTACCGGTAATTGTTTATAGTTTTCCCCCTTTAAAATATCAAAGTATTATTTTACATTCCACAGGGATCCATTTAGAATTTTCTGTTCATGCTTATATAAAACTACTCACCCCTTTCTTCTTCGGGTTAATTTGGAATCCTCTTCATTAGGTCTATGTGTTTCAGCGAGTCTACAATAAAAAAATGTAATTATGAGTTTGTATAATAACAATTACGTACTTCTAGCTGGTGCAGTTTATCACTATGTATACATATACTTATCACTTATTAATTAAATTACACATTACTCACAGTCCATGTAGTACATTAAAACTAGCAGGAACTGAATTTAAAAAACCCATTGTTTTATACATGTATGTTATGTGCTTATGCATGTACAAGTCCTTAATTAATCATTGAAAAGGTGTCACATGTGAAGTAAAAAATAATGTTAATGAGTGAAATCTAGGTCTATGTGTTATAGCAAAGGAAGAGAAAAGTACTTAAGCAGCTGGGATTTGAAACAACAGCAATAAAAAAAAATGTAATTATGACTTGTGTGTGTATAATAACAATTTTACGTACTATTTTTAGTAACCTGGTGCAGTTTATCACTATGTATACATATACTTAATATCGATTATTAATTAAATTACACATCACTCACAGTCCATTTACTAGTACATTAAAACTAGCAGGAACTGAATTTAAAAAAAACCATTGTTTTATACATGTATGTTGTGTACTTATGCATGTACAAATCCTTAATTAATCACTGAAAAGGTGTCACATGCGAAGTAAAATATTTATAATGATCAATAATGAATGAAAGTGTGAAAAAATAACACTTATCCCTCAAGAAAAAATAATATACAGATGCACAAAGAAAATGCCTTTAATCATTTCAAAGACGTCTTAATATTTAAAAAGAACCTGGCCTTCCATGATGATTTAAATGTCTCAGTTGAAGAGGATTATTGATATGCCATTCCAGTTTTTGTTTTTCTTTCTCATTTTAGTGCCCTATCTTTCAAAAAGCTAGCTTTCTCCACAATTGATGACAAAAAAAAACCCCACAATATTTCATAGTCCTAAAATTTATAATGTCATTCATTCTGAGGTTTTGATTTCATTAATCTATTTTTCTCGTAAACTAGAAAGATCAATTCCTTAGCCAAATTAAGTACGCAATGCGTATAATATAACTTATGACAAAATCCATTCTGTCATGGGTTATCCCAAAAAAACCCACAATATTTCTATAGTTAATAGTCTAAAATCCTATATGAAAGAAATATTCTTTCCACAACATTTTGGTGTCATACAGCTCTGACCAAAAAGGTACCAACAGACCAATTGTGATATATCCAATCGAAGTGAATTTAAAATACTATTTTTCGAGTGTCAAAAACAAAAGCCAAAGAAAGAATCCATGAATGGACCTCTTAATAAAGTGATTATGAACTTGTCCAAATTAAGTTAATTTATGCTAGTATAATATGCAATAATATAACTTATGTCTAAAATAAACCATAATCCATTCCACAAACAATATAAAGAAAACTGACAGAATTTGAAGATTTGAGCCTAAATAATCAATTTTAGGACTCCTGATATTTTTTCCTTCTGATATTGGATGTCAAAGACCAATTGGCACACTGTGGTGATGCTAAACATAGAAAAACCCTGAAACGACCTTACCTGTTAGCGATATCTTCTGGGAGGATGTCTCCCATCGTCCCTGAACCAGAACCACTCTTACAGGCTTCATCGTCATCGTCGTCCTCGACGTCGGAATATTTGCTGTATGGAGTCGGAGGCTCATCAATTTTCATGTGACCATAGTCTTTGTCAGGGGGATGGTGTGTGGCTAATATATTCATTTCATCCCACTTCATCTCTTTGTCTTTTTGCCTAAAATGTACAAAAGAAAATCAAATCTGATAGGAAAAAAAATCCATCCATTGTTAGACCTTTTTATTGTGCTATGAAAGGCATATAGGTAAAACATTCACACATTAATTTTTCCCTAATTAAATTTTATTTTTTGATTAAGATACTAACAATTTTTCTTACTTCTGTCTTAATTTTGTTTTCTTGAAAAAGAAAAATTGTTGATTTTTTTCTGTTTTGGTTTATGGAACAATTGATATACATTCTATTCATCCACAAATGATTAATTACTACAGATATTACATAAAAAATGTTAAGAATGTTTTTTTTTCTCAATGCTGATGTACATGTCCTTGAATATGTTGCATGATAATCAAATCTAAAAAGACAACAACTAAGGGAAGAGGATGAGAAGAGATGGGTAAAAGGTAAATCTGCAGGAGCTGATTTTATCTGGTTGTGTGACTTCTTACAATCACCATGATCATAAACAGATGGAATGGTTGAATGGACCATAGCAGTTATGTCAACTCTTTGATAGAGATAGACAGTTACTGTGGGGATTACAAGATGTACAGAGGTACAAGCATTACAGGTTTTTCCATCTCATTTTCTCTCTGTATTTTGTAAACATGAAGAGTGGTGAGAGCCGATACCTTCAGAAAACAGGCACTGAACATGCTGAACTTGTGGCAACATTGAAAAAATTTGAAAACTTAAAATAAATTTATAAAATTATTTTTACTAAGAATGCTACAATAATAATAATTTTTTTAAGTCTAATTCAACTTTTACATTATTTTATTTCTGACTAAGTAGCTTGTTGTTAGTTTACATCTAGAATAATGTAGCTTTCGCTTTTCTCAAACCTTCATGTCAATCATAACTACATCTATAAAATATTTTTTGCTTGAAAAGGGGCTGGGTGGGTGCTAAATTCTCTTATGAGAGGATAAATCTTTACTACCCTTTCTCCCCTCCAAATGGATTTTTTTTTATCCTGGCTTCACATTTTTATTCAAAGGAGTGTGCAATATGCAGGTGAACACACTGATAAGTATGTTAAGAATTTGGGATACATCCAGAAACAAGGTTTCATACATTTAATGCTCATCATCACACTTTTCAAAATGCTTTAAGAGTAGTAAATTGTCCCAAAGAGTGAAGATAAATAACAAATTGCAAAAGGTAGTGATCATTGGTGGGTGCCATAGATGATAGAAGCTGGTCAGCTAGTTACTGAGGCTGACAAAAAATGCCACCTTGAAGAAGTCATTTACATGTTTACATGTATAAATTTTAATAATAAAATACATAGTATATGAAGTACTATTTATGAATGTACATATGTGTAAATCTTATCTTAATATTTCAAAATATATTCATAATGTCCTAAATTTGTTGATTGCTCACTTGTGCTAAATTACTAATAGGGCTATATTTATCATTGCTTGCTTGTCAAATAGAACTATATTTATCAATTCAGGATCTTAAACTTATAAGCTTAATATTTGTCAGCTTTGTAAATATAAACAACTGCAATGATACATCATGACCATACATGAATTATTCAGCATTAGTTAAATTTATTATCATTATAATAAAGGTATCATTAAAGACATTTTAAGTAGAGCAAAGTACAAAGCTTGCACCGCCCAACTTATTGAGATTAATAATGTCTAGGATAGATGCTACACTAGTTTGGTTGGACCAATATCCCCCCAGATTCAATTTCATGATCTAAACTACAATTTCACAGTACCAGTCTGAGTCAAAACCCATCATCTGAAATGTCTTCAGTTCTTAAAACATTTTTTTACAAGCAAGATGAGTATGCAGAAACACTATACTTAACATTACATTTATTTTGTATTAATCATTGGAACAGAAGAAAGCATATAAAAAAGGGGAAAAAACAAAACAAGCATACTCCTTCATCGCCTTGTGCTTTTCATGGTCAAAGCTCGAGGAAGACTTTAAAATTCCTTTCACAGGTTTCTTCGTGTCGGACATGTCAGTCGCCATTCTATCGTTTTCACTTATTCCATGTGTTATGAACGTCAATGACTAAGTCCCAATGTACACCTATAAGCTTTCTGCAGAAATTCAGGGAGTCACGAAGCAATTATATGCAGATGATTTATTTATACTGAAGATTTCCACCAATCAAATTTTCAGTGTCAATCGATCTTTTGGGATGGAACAAGTTAACTTGTTCCGCAATTAAGTTAACAATCTATCTTTCGCCATGTACTTGTAAACTGAAAACATGAATTTCTCTGGAGATCAAATTATGTATTTAAAAAGTGTGTATTTAATGCCAAATACATATAATTTTTGAGTATTTTTATCAGGCGTTTAAGAAAAACCGAATCATTTTTGACACGAGATGTCTTGATCTGACATCCATCTTGTTGAAAAAATGAAAGCGAAAGAAGAAATTTATGTGGTGAAATTTCAATGAATTACAATTAATGACAGGTCCAGGTACCAAAAATTACATTTTCCAACATAATACCAAGGAGCAGAAGATAAATGACATGTAAGTAAAAATGGCAGATTTTCTTCTGCGTTTCTCTGACTAAGTAAAAATGTACATCAATTTCACTGTCACAAATTTCAACATGGACCCAGACAGATTACTTTCTAGAATATTTCCAACATTGTTTTCATTGCACAGAGGAATTTTATTTTTAAAAATAACAAAAATAGATTTGAAACATTGAATTGCGACCCCAATTTCAATGTTAAAGGAGGTAGAAGAGGGCATGCAAATTTTATTATGTTGTCCATGGCCATGGCATATCGGCTGATCATGAATTAATTTGCTCTCCACAATATCTCTGAGTTAAACAATTTTTCAATAAAAAACCTTTTTTATGGTTGATGAACTGTAAAGATGTTGCTGTGCAAACTATGAATCTTAAAAAGTCATAATTAAACATGTAGATTAGTTACTTAACCTGTAGTCATATGTGCACGTATGAATATGGATTTTGAATTTCATTTACTTTTGATTCACTAACACAATCCAAAGTAGTTAAGATATTGTTATCACAATACTGTATGTTACGTTTCTATAGTTAATAGAGCTAAAATAAACCACATGTAATTCCATTTGTTTGGTTCCACAACAATTTTAGCTCCATGCGGTGAGGCATGAGACTATGATTACAAAACAACATTGTGAAGAAAATAATCGGTCCTATACATCGATGTTAAAGAAACTCTACAAACTGTAGTTACAGAGGTTGAAGCGATTTAATCCAAGGGTTAACTACATTTCATCGAACCTGTCATACACTAACACCATCAAAACTTTCAGAACTTTGATTGCAATTACCCAACAGATGAAAGACATTTTTCCAAGAGGGATTTTTTCATGAGTTGTTTTCAAGATGGATAATCAAAAAAAGTAAATCAAATGATCACTGCATCAAAGAGAATATTTTCATCACTCAGGGAGAAAAATGCTTTTAAATAGAAATAGAAAATTAAAGTCGGGATAGCCAAATCCAAGGAGAAACCTCAGGTAGGTAAATAAAGCTATGTAGGTAAATCAAGCTACGGAGCTAAATCTAGTGATTGTACCAAAAATGGACTTACCAACAGACCAATTGTAAAATTTTATCCAATGAAGTGAATGGCCATGGCATATTGGCTGATCATGACAAAAACAAAAGCTCTCCACAATATCTCTGAGTTAAATAATTTTTATTTTAAAAAACCTTTTATGGTTGATGAACTGTAAAGAGTCATAATTAAACATGTAGATTAGTTACTTAACTTGTAGTCATATGTGCACGTATGGATATGGATTTTGAATTTCATTTACTTTTGATTCACTACATTAGTATCTTAAGTTGTTGAGCTGCATGTTGGGGGGTGGGGGGGGGGGGGGGGGGGGTAAGGATATACTCCAAATGGCCAATACACAAAAAGCATAGATATCTTCTAACATCTTTATAACTGTCAAATTAAAACTAACTAATGAATCTAACTAATTAAAATTTCAAATGAATAGGTTCCATGTTCGTTCGCCCTAAAAATTGTTCGGCCGATTTCCCGTTCGCCCGAATTCCCATTCGCCCAGAGTCTGCTCGCCCTAAAACTTGTTCGCACAGGGTCCGTTTGCCCTCATTTAATGTAGAATAAAATCTAACCAATTTCTTTCCAAAATTTCCAACTTCCATCTTCTTATAAATCATTTTTTGAGATCAGAGGGAGATTCTTCAAAGGTAAAACCTTCAACATCCGCTGTTCAGTTCTATAATGGGCCTATTAACGTCCCAGTCCTTTAATTGTTTTCAAAACATGGCGCGATTTGTAAAAATAACATGGATGTATCCCCCTTATTAACATTGATATTAATCATATTAATCATCTAATTAACTATAGTGCAAACACTAATTTAAGTCATTAAAAAAACATTAGAATCAAATCAAAAATTAATTAAGACTAAATAAACATTGTTCCTCGTATCAGAATTTGGGAAAAAATATCCCAAGTTCGTAAAGGAAATAAATAGAAAAAATGATAAATGTTATTTAATAATTCATATGAGTTTATATATACAAGTATATATAAGTAAAGTATAGGGCGAATCACATATAGGGCGAACAAGATATTGGGCGAAAATATTTTGGGTGAACGGACTCCCGCGAACAGGTATATCGGGCGAACGAACCCGTTACCAAATGAATATAACTGTAAAATAATTTTGATAATCAAACAAAATTTTCGTCATATGTTTGTATTTAAATATTGTTTAAAATTTTAGTTTAATATGACAGTGTTGTAACAGGAAAAGAATGTTGTTTTTGTTTACATACCATAGATTACCCCAATCTACAAGTTTCTGTATTGTTATTGGTGATATGATATAATATAGATCCAAGTAATCTTATCAGCTTCAGTTATTTTTGCTACAAACTACAAAGTACAAAATTGCTACACTAAGCCTGCTAAGTGAAATTAAATCTTCAAATAGATGTAACCCACCCCCCCCCCCCCCCTCAACTACTGACACAAAAACAGTGCCATTTCAGGGGTCTATTTCAGTGTTAATTGTAATATGTTTCTTGTATAAGTCATGCCAGAATAGAACTGTAAAAGTCTGGTTTTTTGATATGTTCATCAATTTCTCTTATCACATTTTTTTTGGCAACATTCCATTGTTAGCCAAATTGTAGAAGTTAATCTAATTTCAATATATGCAGTTTTATATATGTCATAGTTGACCTTGGCTTTATTGTTTAATGAATTAATTTCCATAAAGATTACAATTTAATATTCTAACATAATGCATTATCATAGTACATATATAAAAACAGTCTTCCTGGAGTATTTTGGAGTATCCTGAATAGTGACTGTCATTTCCTGTCATTTAAAATAAGTTTGATCATCATATTGAAGTCTTCATTCTTATGACAGAAATATTTTTCATCAGTCATCAGTTATCTTAATTGTTTTAATGTACCTTATTATGTCTCTTGTGTGAATGTGTAAATAACATTGTAATCACATGGTAATGCAGACACTTTATACAGCCTATACAGGGGTTGCACATGACCATCTGTCTTGATCATGTTGATCCTGTATTGATCTATTAGGTCATGAGGACAAGATAATGGATTAGAGCGAGGGGTTGGGGGGTATATATTCTTGTCTAGGAAATATTAATGCATTTCATTGAGAAATTTCAGAGGCTCAAAAAAAAAATCTTTGTTTATGTGCATGGGATTGTAAGAATGTGCAAGTCCATTAGCACAAATCTTAATGTAATAAAACTCTCTTCAAATATTATATTATTTTTTTTACCACACTGAAGTTTTGCTTGATGTTTCTACATCATTTGCATGATTGAAAGCATGTACATGTATTATATAACAGAAGAACCACTTTTACTGCATTCAGAAATGTAGATTGTAGGAAAGTTAAGGTGGAAATACATTTATACTAATGGCATGTTGTATTCAGTTTTATATATTGACGGAGAGTGAATTTCAAGAAACATTTACACAGCTAGGGAATGTTTTATTTCTAAAAATGCATGATAATGTTAAACTAGAGGTATTGTGAGCAATGAGCTCACTAAATGATACCCCCCGCCTCCCATATGGTTATAATGCCTATGGCAAAGTCCATGTTTGCTATGGCCGGGAACCCAAAATATGTATCGGATCAAAAAGTAAAATAAGAGGTACTCAATGGCAATATGTAATAAAGATTCTTTGAAAGTTTCATTAAATTTCACTCAGTGGTATAAGAGGAGTTGCGGATAAGAGATGGGTACCCCAAAGCGTAACAGACAGACGGACGGACATACTGATTACTATATACCCTCCCACTTTTCAAGCGGGGGGTATGATAATTTCTAAAGTACATGTATACACAAGATGCAATTTTTGTATTCTGTGCATGGTTATAACGATTTTTATATTTAATTACAGAGCAACACAGATAACTTGAAAGAAATAAACATGAAGAAATCATCAACTGATACTTCTTCCGACTCCTACAAAATGTTGTATGGGACATGTCCTGATGAAGAGTGTAAAGCCAAACTTTATTTCCCCTCTTACGACAAAAGCATTGAGTGTACAAGCTGCGGTCAGAGACATGAAAAATCGGCAATCAAAAACGTTGCTGAAGTCACAAATCCAAAGGTTGCTTTTCATAACATTCTGAAAAACCTTCTGCTTGGAAATGTGAAACCTAAGAAAGGTGCAGACAATGTGAAAGTGCTAGGTCTTTCTAATTACGTGTGTAAAATTGTGTCCCCAATCCTGACAAGATACGGCATGGATAAGAACACAGGGGCAGCCAAATTGCTGACAGAGCTTGGACAACCGGCGATTCTGGACTGTGGAAAGATTTTGGGGGACAGGGCTTTTCTCATAGAGGAGGAGAATCTAGACATTATCGGGTATGGGAGGGACAGAACAGGAAGTGCCCAGTATCTTGCCGACACTCTTAATGTAATTAAGGAGGCTAACAATAACGAGAGTAGACTGGTTCCCATACATGCTGACGGAGACGGCCACTGCCTTGTGCATGCTGTGTCAAGAGCTCTGGTTGGACGGGAACTTTTTTGGTATGCTTTGAGAGTGAATCTCATGAACCATTTTCAGTCCAAGCTGACCACATATAAGGATCTTTTCTGTGATTTTATTGATGTGGATGAATGGGATGCTATCATAAAGGAGTGTGACCCCGATTTTGTGCCTCAGGATGGTGAGCCTTTGGGTCTGAGGAATATCCATGTGTTTGGACTGGCTAATGTTTTGAGAAGACCTATTATCCTGTTAGATTCTATCAGTGGAATTCAGAGCTCAGGGGATTATTCTGGTAAGTGGAAATCAAACAGTTCAGAGAGAATTATCCTGCTGCTAAATTTTTCGATAATTTTGACATTTCCCCCCAAAGATGCTTAAGATAAACATGAAATTCAAGCAAATTTAGTTTACCCTTATTTGACACAAATTACTATTGAAGATGGAAATTATTGAAACATGAGTAAGAGAAATTGAATATATATAGTGATATGCATAAAAAAATCATTAAAGCACTTATCAATTTTATTGGAACTCTTTGTTATTGGAGACACATTAGGTATAAAGGGCTTGGGGACTGTGACGCTATGGTAGCTCAGAGTCTCAGAATAGTGAATTTTGTTCATAGAAAGAAGCTTGAGTTATGGGAATATTTACAAAAGAATGAGACAATTGATTACCATGATCACTCTAATAAAAAAAAATTATGACCAGATGTGAGCATCAGATTAGGTTGCATTATTTCTTTTCCTTTGAAAATTGAGAAAAAAATCATTTGATTTGGTCTATATCAAACTTTTACGAGAAAGAATGCACACGTCAAGAAAAGTTACTCTAGATTGTTGTGATAAAAACTATAATTGTAGAGTTAGTTCTCTTTGTAGAAGGTCATTTCTCCTTGAGCATGTTGAGAGAAACTATTTAGCTTTTATATGGCAGTAAAGCGTAGGCAGAAAAATAACTTTCAGCTAGCTTTGATGCAACCTTTCAATACCCATTCACAGTGTTTACATAACATTGTAACAATGTATATCGTTGGGTGTAGTTGCAATATAAACAATTATTTTCCCAATTTTACAACAGAAAAAGACTGTTAACCAAGTTAACAGAAAACGTCAATTAATTTTTGTTTTATCATGTTTATACTTAAAAGGCATATGAACATGATTACCTGAAATGAAATGAATATTTAATTGTAAATGCTTCATGTATTAGATTTATAATTTATTTAGATGAGTTTTTGACATTTGTGGCTTGTAATGCATTCCCTTTGTTTATACAGGTATAAATCTATGAAAAATACTAAAAGATTTCAAAAACATCATGTATATGCATAATGACATGCTTCACTTCAAATACTGTGATGAGGAAGTATTTCATTTTAATCCATAACAGTTATTATGTTTTTTTTATGTGTGAATTATTCAATTATTCAATCTAACCACTTGAAATGAAAAAAAAAAAAAACAACTTTTGAACATGAAGCCTTGAATCACATGACATTTAGGGCTTTCTTAGCAGGAAAAATAGCATGTGGGGGAATAAATCTATGACAGCTAGTACAGATCCAAAATTTTTTTGTGCAAGAAAATGAAGTTTGGGAATTATCTGACATGTCCATGCAGTGATTTGACCCTATAGTCATAACTTTTTGACCACAAAATAGCTCTAGACAATGGGAGGTTTCATATTTTTCAAGCATTACAAGTGCAACTTTTAAAGGTCATGGGGAAATCTAAAGATCAAGGTCATATTTATTAGTATACTTTAATCATGGACCTGAAATTGAGCCAGCTAACAGCCACATTAATGTTCACCTATATTGTTTCCTTTTGCTGGAAACTTAATTCACTCTCTTTCAAGCATTTGAATGAGGAAATGATATAACACTTACATGTGTAGCTGTTTTTATATAAGGCATAGGAAAATAAATTATATGTTTTGGGTTCCCCGACTGAAAAAAAAAAATTATCTGCCGGTATATAAATTCCCATTGGAAGTAAACAAATCTAGTTTCGCTATAATAAATCCTTATCTGGATCACTTCCATGATTTGGAAATATTTTGACAGGGATCTCTCTTACCCTATTTTTCTCAGGTTGGAATAGGATACACAATATTTATTTATCTTGGCCTTTTACTGAGTGTTCATTCAGTAATGTTCACCCATAAAATATTTATCTTTCTCTTTTCAAGAGTTTTATTTTTCCTGTTTCTCTTATCATTGCTTATAGTGTAAATCTTCTTTGTTTGTCCTTGACATAGATATTTTAACTATAAGTTACAAGTGCTAGAGTTCTGGGATAAAGCGCATCAGTGTTTACTTTGAGTAATATTAAAATTGAAGTATTTAGGTTAGTTACCCTGTTAGCCTGTCTGTTATAATTCTTTGGTTTCTTTTACTTTATAAAAAACAACCTTAAATCTGCATGTGCTTGAATAAATGTGCTGATGAAGTGATAATACACACTTACATGGTTTAGCAAAAGATTTGCTTTTGCTCTTTGGTAAAATTTTGACACTATAGCTTTCAAAGTCTCACCACACAAACCTCAGGTGACCCTTCACTTTGAATGTCTTTGGCAGTCTTATTTGGCTTGTAATTCATTCAAATATGAGAGTCATATGGAATTTATTAATGATATTGGTAATTATTATGAAAAGATACAGCTAAACCTCATTATATTATATCTTAAAATTGAAGAGTTCCCCCCAAAAAACTTCCTGTCTGAGGGTTAGAGAGGATACTGAGGATTACTGTAATAGGTTAAGGAAATGTGGTTGGGACATCCGATTCACTTGTTTTATTTGTTTACAAATATATTTTTACCTGGGACTTCTAACTCACTTGTTTATTTGTTTACAGATGTGTTGTTTATTTGTTTACAGGTGTGTTTTTGCCCGGCCTTTTGCCTCCAGAGGAGTGTAAGGGCAAGGATGGTGTCCTGAACAAACCATTGTGTATTGCCTGGAGCAGCATGGGGAGAAACCATTATATACCACTGGTCGGAATCAAAGGTAAAGGGAGAAAATTACTTATTAAGGTCTTCCGCTCAGGCGGAAGACCTTTTACTGATTCTGATGGTTAAGATTATTCCCTATTATTCTTTTCTTTTTTTTTTTTCCTAGACGCCAACTTTGAGACCTCGTAACTCGCTCATTTCTGAACGGATTTCGCTCAAATTTTCAGAGTTTTTGGACGTTACAAAACTCAATTAAAATGTTTTCATACATTTCAAAAATTCCCTTCCGCTTTCGAGTTATTTCCCTTTAAGTGAAAATTTGGTACTGTTCGTTTCCAGAAGGCTCAGAAACGACAAAAGCTGAAGCAGAATGTCTACTGCATTTAAATACTAGAAGAATTGAAGTTGTGCACATCGGTTTTTCTTTTTCGATTTCTGCGCTCCAAACGGTGCTAGATAGGGGTCAAAAATGAGAATGCCTAAAAGCGCCAAATTTTACATATATTTCCTTGTGTATCTTTTAAACTAAAAATAATTTGTTAAGACATATTTCACAAATATTGTGCATAATTTTAAGATCTATCATTTGACATCATTAAAAAGGGGCTGGCCCCTAAAATTAGGGGTCAAGGGAGCATGAAAGTTTTTGCATTATAACTCAAAAATGGTAAATATTTCGATATGGTTATCGATTTGAAATGGGTCTTTAACATCTTATTGATCTCATGAAAACGTTATTTTGTTCGAATCTTGTGTTATTGAATGAGCAGCAAACTTTATGTACAGGTAACTGATTAATTTTATACGGCAAGTGAAGAATTCTTTATGCGTACGCGTATAACACGTATAACTGAAATAAACTGGATAAGAATAATATACTTAACTAAACTGAATGTTAAACTTTGTTGAAATAAAGTTTTTAACGTATTCTCTAGCTGGATGTCATACAGATTATTCAGAGACAACTTTCTCCTTTTATTTAGTTTGAATTACAAGACGGGAGATAGGAAAAATACTTATCATCTCTCATTCGATTGATACTCAATGTTGCATTATTTATATAAAAAAAAAATAATCAAGCTTAAAATAATTCACTGTCATTTTATTCATGCATCGTGAATTTTCCTCGGACCTTGACTGCTTTGTTTACAGTTGTGCAACCTGTTTACAAATCAATCGCATAGGCGCTCCCCATGTAATTCTGTAAATGACGTATGATAAGTATATATAGGTCTACCCCTCTATACTATAAAATATCCGGATATTTTATAGTATAGAGGGGTAGACCTATATATACTTATCATACGTCATTTACAGAATTACATGGGGAGCGCCTATGATCAATCGCGCATGCATTGACCTACAGTCAATGGACAAAAGTATTCGTCATTTTTCAAAATGGCGTCGCGTTGTTTACGTTCACAACGGAAGTTTTAAACGTAGATTTGTATACTTAAAATTAAAGTCACTTACCTAATATTTTGTCAGATTTCCTTTCATACGTATTACTTCTTTAATCCGATCTGGAATGGATGCGTAGAGGCTGTGGACGTATTCCAAGGGGATGTTTTCCCACACTTGTCGGATTGCATGAAACAGCTGATCGCGACTTTCAATAGTTGCGGACATGCCTTTAAGCTCTCTTTTGATCTTTAACCAAATGTTTTCAATCACATTTAAATCTGGAGACTGAGCTGGCCAATCTGTGCAGTTAATATTATTTTCGGTCATATAGTTTTTCACTACGTGAGCCCTATGTACGGGAGCATTATCGTCTTGGAAAACATAGTCTTTGTTCGGGAAATGTCTGGCAATTACAGGCCATAAATTATTATCAACTATTTCCAAGTATTTGAGTGCATTTATATTACCTTCGACAGGTACAATAGTTCCCATACCATCAAAACACATGCATCCCCAGATCATAAGTGTTACCTTCCTTTTCGATGGCGGACAAATCAAATGGGGACTGTTCGCTTCGGCGTCCTTTCTCCACACATACACACGGTTATCTGTCCCGATAACAATCTGACTTTCATCGGAAAATATATATTTTTTCCATTCATTATCACTTTTCCAGTTTTTTCGTTCTTGACACCATTTTACCCGTTTTTTTCTGTTCACACATCGAACCACCATAGTCTTCCTTGCACGTTTCCTTTTGTACCCTTCTTCACGTAATTTTCTAAATACTGTTTTCTCACTAAATTGTCTTCCTCTTCCTTCGTTCAGTTTGTTTGTTAAATCTGTCAAAGTGTCCCTTCTGTTTGCTTTAGCGAGGCGACTCAACTTCGTCTTGTCCCGAATTGTAAACAAAAGTTGACGGCCAGATCTCGGCAAGTTTTCTACAGTACCCAGTCTGTCAAATTTATTCAAAATACTCGCGATTGTTGACCTTGGTATACCAAACATTCTCGCCAGTTCTGCTTTATTTGGAGTGTGGTTTGCAGAGTTTACGATCATTTCTTTTACCTCAGTGCTCAACTCAACTGATTTTCGCCCCATGTTTTCGAGTGATGTTTTCCAGTGTTTACAGACACACAAGTGACAAAATGACGTCACAAAATCGTGACATAATTTCTCCAGTCTCTTTATTGAAAGTTGCATTCTATTTCGTTTGTTCTATAAATAGCGCGAGTGAAAAAATAGCCGAGAGAGGCATCGCGATTAACGCAACGCCAATTAAAATGACGAATACTTTTGTCCGTTGACTGTATATACATTCCCGAGGTCAACATTACCGCTCTTTGATTTTTACGCGAGTCCCAGAGTTATCTAAAACGATGCTAGTCATCGATTTACTCAGTTTAAAATCAAGAATTTGTTATTTGCGTAAATCGTAAGAATATTTCTAGACACAAATATAAAGGTTTTCTTGAACATGTACGAGTATTAAAAGATAAAATGTCTGATTCTATTCTTTGACGAATGAATAAAAGGCGCTGCGATTTTGCTCAGGTACAGATGATTTCTCTGGACGAGTCCATCGGTTACACTGAAAGGTGACGCAGGATGACCTATCGATAACTCTGCCAATTTTGATAGTGATTGTAATTGCACATGTACATAAATTAATGTTGAATTCTACCCTTGTGAAGTCCATTATAGTTTCGTTATTTAAAGAATCGGGGATATCACTACTGCAACTTAATTGTTTTTAATTTGAACGGATGATTCTATATTATTGGAAAGGTACACATTTTTTAGACGCCGTCGTCTCCCTCTCAACTTTGAAGTAATTGCAATCGTTATATGTATACGGGCCTATATCAAGTTATTCTAGACTAATTGTTGCTTAATTTATTTCAGAAAAAATTGCGATGTTGTTTAAATTAGCAATTACAAATAAACATGACAAATGCACACAGTAAATTGTAAGTGGAAGTGACGTTTTCAATTCTCATGAAAATCGAAAATAAAATTAAGTAACTTTGAGTTTTGCATAATTTGCTTTATAACTTATCATTGTATTTTTCCGATTGATATGCTCATAAATTTCTTTTATTTCCTCAAATAAAAAGCTAGAATATCACAGTGACACGATTTTATGTGCATGTACGTGATATTAACTAAACTACATGCTGTTTTACACAGAAGAGCACCCAACATGAGCTATAATTAGAAATTCTTCTAACAAATGCAAAATTTCTTCCTGTAATTTCATACAAATATTCCAAGCCTTTCTTTCGTGTTTATTGGACTAAAAGAGATTAAATTATTAAATTTCCTCTCATTGCGATACGTAACCCCCTGAAATGATACAATGCTTTCCTTCAGAGTCGAGAATGGCAGGTCAGGGCTGGTGTTGAAATCCATGATTACTCCATAACCTATTATAATATTAACCAAAAATCATACGCGATATTGTTTTTAATTCGCAGGTTGTCAAATAAATTTAAGAAAAGGTCGGCAAAGATGAGTATGCCTCACTAAACTTTTTTATTCATAAACTTTTTAATTTCTAGAGTGTACAATCGAGCATCGAAGTGTGTACATGTACTACATGTACTAGTTTTTTTTTTTTTTTTTTTTTTTTTTTGGGGGGGGGGGGGGTTACCAGTTTTAGCTGCATTTTATTTCCTGTATTTTTCATTGAATTTACGACAATTAAAAAAAGTTAATAGAATATAATTGGTGACAGTAACACAAGTGATTTATAAAACGAAAGTCAAGCAATAAAACGTTAAAGTTTGTATTTTGAAAAATAAATCAAATCAAGTCACATAAAACAAAGACAGGTTGAAACGCTCACACATGGACATACATACAAACGTTTTGGTAACTCGGAATAGTCCAGAGTAAAACTATATTTTCTTGATGACGGAATGTCCAGTACATCTAATGTTCACGTCCGGGATAGTTCACGGCAGTTTCATCACACATACGCAATTATCAATTACAAGTCGAATGCTCTTAAGTTTGAGGTTGAGGATTGACACTAATTCCTTAGATAAATACTGAGTATCAAATTCCTTTTTACTGTCTTAACTTAACTTGATAGGTAAATAATTTTAGCATATATGTTAAAAATAAGCATTAGAAATAATTCTTTTCATAAAATTCAATTCTGTTACATTTCAAATGAATTTGTAAAATTAACTTTATGACAATTGTCATGCTGCAGATCTGTAGCTCGCTAGCTGTTCTAAAAAAAATTGAGATGGATCACCAGAGAGCTACAGTGCCATCCATATTATCTCAAGTTCAGGCTCAGAAGGACTATTAAAAACGGTTGTAAGGAATGTTTAACTGTAGAAAAATTTAAGGAATGTGTTAGAGACACACGGTAAATAATATTTTTAGATTCAAGCAGTTGAAAAACACAGATATTGAATATAGCTTCAGCGCAATTTTTTTCTAATATTTTCTAGTTTTTTATTCTTCGTATTTCTCAATTTATCATGTTCAAATAACGTGTATTTATTTTTATTAGGGCACATTAAACCTAAACTTGATAATAACTATTGAATGAGTTGAAATAGGACTTTCATATTTCACATGTGCATTATTTGTGACATGTGATTTTCAAATATATTGTGATTTTTAACCCCGTGACCTTGATCTTGGAGCTTGACCTACTTAAAAAATAACATTACTTTAAATTGACCATAACTATTGAAAGCTTTCATTTTATAAACATGTACATGTAATACCTGTGTCAACGCCTTTGAAAATTCATTATGATTTTTGACCCTTTGACCTTGAAGTTTGACCCACTTTTCAAAAACATTAACCATAGTCATACCTTTTGAGAGAAAAGAGATCGATTAGGGCTTTTATTTTACCACTGTGTATTACCTGTAACAACATTTTTAGCTCTACTGGTCAGAGACCAGAAGAGCTTATGCGATAGTAATGCGTCCGTCGTCCGTCCGTCTGTCTGTCTGTCTGTCTGTCTGTCCGTCTGTCTGTCTGTCTGTAAACAATTTTTCAAAATGCTACTCCTCCTACAGTTTTGGTCTGATTTCAATATTATTTGGCACACAAGTAGACTACACTAAGATACATAATTCTGTGTATCGGTTTTTGATTTCGATGAACGGTGTTGCCGTGGTTACTAAAAATAGAAATTTCTGTGAAATTCTTTCAAAATGCTACTCCTCCTACAGTTTTAGTCTGATTTCAATATAACTTGGCACAAAAGCAGACTACACTAAGATACATAATTCTGTGTATCGGTTTTTGATTTCGATGAACGATGTTGCCGTGGTTACTAAAAATAGAAATTTCTGTGAAATTCTTTCAAAATGCTACTCCTCCTACAGTTTTAGTCTGATTTCAATATAACTTGGCGCAAAAGCAGACTACACTAAGATACATAATTCTGTGTATCGGTTTTTGATTTCGATGAACGGTGTTGCCGTGGTTACTAAAAATAGAAATTTCTGTGAAATTCTTTCAAAATGCTACTCCTCCTACAGTTTTGGTCTGATTTCAATATAACTTGGCACAAAAGCAGACTACACTAAGATACATAATTCTGTGTATCGGTTTTTGATTTCGATGAACGGTGTTGCCGTGGTTACTAAAAATAGAAATTTCTGTGAAATTCTTTCAAAATGCTACTCCTCCTACAGTTTTAGTCTGATTTCAATATAACTTAGCACACAAGTAGACTACACTAAGATACACAATTCTGTGTATCGGTTTTTGATTTCGTTGAACGGTGTTGCCGTGGTTACTAAAAATAGAAATTTCTGTGAAATTCTTTCAAAATGCTACTTCTCCTACAGTTTTAGTCTGATTTCAGTATAACTTGGCACAAAAGTAGACTACACTAAGATACATAATTCTGTGTATCGGTTTTTGATTTTGATGAACGGTGTTGGCGTTGTTACTAAAAATAGAAATTTCTGTGAAATTCTTTCAAAATGCTACTATTCCTACAGTTTTAGTCTGATTTCAATATAACTTGGCACAAAAGCAGACTACACTAAGATACACAATTCTGTATATCGGTTTTTGATTTCCATGAACGGTGTTGCCGTGGTTACTAAAAATAGAAATTTCTGTGAAATTCTTTCAAAATGCTACTCCTCCTACAGTTTTAGTCTGATTTCAATATAACTTGGCACACAAGTAGACTACACTAAGATACACAATTCTGTGTATCGGTTTTTGATTTCGTTGAACGGTGTTGCTGTGGTTACTAAAAATAGAAATTTCTGTGAAATTCTTTCAAAATGCTACTTCTCCTACAGTTTTAGTCTGATTTCAATATAACTTGGCACAAAAGTAGACTACACTAAGATACATAATTCTGTATATCGGTTTTTGATTTCGATGAACCGTGTTGCCGTGGTTACTAAAAATAGAAATTTCTGTGAAATTCTTTCAAAATGCTACTCCTCCTACAGTTTTAGTCTGATTTCAATATAACTTGGCACACAAGTAGACTACACTAAGATACACAATTCTGTATATCGGTTTTTGATTTCGATGAACGGTGTTGGCGTTGTTACTAAAAATAGAAATTTCTGTGAAATTCTTTCAAAATGCTACTTCTCCTACAGTTTTAGTCTGATTTCAATGTAACTTGGCACAAAAGTAGACTACACTAAGATACATAATTTTGTGCATCCGTTTTTTGATTTCAATGAACGGTGTTGCCGTTGTTACTAAAAATAGTAATTTTTGTGAAATAAATTCAAAATGCTACTCCTCCTACAGTTTTAGTCTGATTTCAATATAACTTGGCACAAAAGCAGACTACACTAAGATACACAATTCTGTGTATCGGTTTTTGATTTCCATGAACGGTGTTGCCGTGGTTACTAAAAATAGAAATTTCTGTGAAATTCTTTCAAAATGCTACTCCTCCTACAGTTTTAGTCTGATTTCAATATAACTTGGCACACAAGTAGACTACACTAAGATACACAATTCTGTGTATCGGTTTTTGATTTCGTTGAACGGTGTTGCCGTGGTTACTAAAAATAGAAATTTCTGTGAAATTCTTTCAAAATGCTACTTCTCCTACAGTTTTAGTCTGATTTTAATATAACTTGGCACAAAAGTAGACTACACTAAGATACATAATTCTGTGTATCGGTTTTTGATTTCGATGAACGGTGTTGCCTTGGTTACTAAAAATAGAAATTTCTGTGAAATTCTTTCAAAATGCTACTCCTCCTACAGTTTTAGTCTGATTTCAATATAACTTGGCACACAAGTAGACTACACTAAGATACACAATTCTGTGTATTGGTTTTTGATTTCGATGAACGATGTTGGCGTTGTTACTAAAAATAGAAATTTCTGTGAAATTCTTTCAAAATGCTACTTCTCCTACAGTTTTAGTCTGATTTCAGTATAACTTGGCACAAAAGTAGACTACACTAAGATACATAATTCTGTATATCTGTTTTTGATTTCGATGAACGGTGTTGGCGTTGTTACTAAAAATAGAAATTTCTGTGAAATTCTTTCAAAATGCTACTTCTCCTACAGTTTTAGTCTGATTTCAATATAACTTGGCACACAAGTAGACTACACTAAGATACACAATTCTGTGTATCGGTTTTTGATTTTGATGAACGGTGTTGCCGTGGTCACTAAAAATAGAAATTTCTGTGAAATTCTTTCAAAATGCTACTCCAAATGCACACAAGTAGACTACACTAAGATACACAATTCTGTGTATCGGTTTTTGATTTTGATGAACGGTGTTGCCGTGGTCACTAAAAATAGAAATTTCTGTGAAATTCTTTCAAAATGCTACTCCAAATACAATTTTAGTTTGATTATAATATAAATGTGGCATGCAAGTAGACTGCACTAAGAACATAAAGAGACTTAATCAAGAATCATTATTCTATTTATTGCTGTTGAAAAGTTTCAATTTCCAACTGCTTAAGTACTTTTCTCTTCCTTTGCTATAAGTACAAACCAGTAGAGCTTCAGTCTCGACAGAGACTTCTGGTTTAAAATACCGATACGCTGATTTTGACAACGTGACCTTGAGGCTTGACTTACTTTTCACAATTTTAATCTTGATCATAACTTTTGAATGAGAAGAGATAGGGTTTTCGTATTACACAAAAATCAAATGTATGTAACCTGTGATAAAATCATTTCAAATACTAGCATATAATGAACTTTGACCTTGAAGTTTAACCGGCTTTAAACATTGCTTAAAATTGACCATGACTTTTGATAAAGAAAGGATAACGCTTTCATACCTAGATTTACACATGTATGCACGTATTAGCTGTGACAAGGCCTATCAAAAAAGTATAGCTTAAGAATTCGTCAATACGGTAGCACACAAATGGCTTTGCTTATCACCAGCGTGTGTCATGGTGTGACGTAAGGTCATTTTAACAAGGTCAAGGTCGCAAACATTCCTTTACTATCTTTTTTAATAGTAAAACATAAATAAGATGACATCTACCCTTAAAAATTTGCTTTAACATTAGAACGTGGCATGACCTTGACCCAAGGTCATTTCTCCCTGTCCGCAGCTCCGACGGAAGACCTACTCGTTGCTTTGCAACGAGCTCGGCTCTAGTTATGCAAATAATTTGAGGAAAAGTCAGCAACTAGGGTCACAAGAGCACTCAATCAGCAAAAAGAGTCTTGATTTCAAAAATGCCATTGTTCCCTTTAGTTCAAAGGGTCAAAACTTTAAAAGTCCAGGACTTGAAAAATTCAAAATATAGCTTGCTGATGTTGCCATGTTAAGTGGTTATCTAGAATATTGTCAAATGTTTTTTACTGTACATGTATCATAAAAGTTATGCAGAGAGTACCTCATCAAAATTGCTAATTTGTCATATTCAGATACTATGGACTCCTGTTGCCATTTCACAGTCCTAAAACTGAATTTAAATTTATATATTAAACATAATGTTTTAGAACGGATTACATATATTACCCTTTGTTTTTGAAACTTAATTATTAATGCATTCAGTTAAAATGATATTCCGCCCCTCAGCATTGTTGACGTTTACACTCAAACCATACTAGACTAACTTTCTAAGTCTTTGACTGTGGTCGTAATGTAAGACTGTCACAGGTGAAAGTTATTAATTAGCAAAGTACGTAGTAGAAATCTGCTTTAAGACAACAAGGCGCAGAACACAGCTGGTGAGCTTAAGATTTGAAAGCAGCTTAGAAAACATATATTTAGTGGTTGATTTTTCTTGCAGGGAAGGAGCAGCCCCTTTTGCCCCGCTATATGATACAGAGGGCCTGGGGCTTGCCCTCTGTTCAGATTGATAAGTACATCGACTTCAACGAGAAAGGCCGCTGTGTCATAGGTGGAAACAAGTGTCTTTCAGTAAGTGTTCAATATTTTTAAAAATTTAGTTTCTATAAGAAAGTAAGTTTTGGGGGGAAAATTTGATGGCAGAAATATTTCTTTTATACTGCTCTTTGCATACCCTAAAGCAATGTTCTGCATTGGATGTTGAAGCATCTATGTTATGTGACTAACCTTGCCTCTCATGTTTAATTTTTTTTATCCCAAACTTCAGAACAATTCAAAAGATTAACCATATTTTGTCACAGTATAACCAGTCAAAATAATGCCTCTTTCTGTTAAAATAAATTTTAACAAGAATTAATCGGTACTTAATTTTCTGAATTTTAAGCTTTGCCAAAGAAATTTATGGGATTAAAATATTTTTGAATTTTACGGCACCTTTTGTATTCATGAATGTGAGAGAGATAATGGCCGGGTGCTGCGTAGTTACTTCTCCAGAGTAAATGCATTATCTCCATTTATACCTTGATTTTTAAATGCCCATTTTATATTCTGACGTTTGAATCTATTTTGTGTGCTACTATTTCTGATTGATTCCTATCTTCTTGCAAGCCATAAATGACACAGTTTAAATTACTATTCCACAATAGGTCTATAAATAACACAGTTTGTTTGAGAGCATGCAGGCAAGGCAATACTCTAGGAAAAACATTTCAAAAATACATTGCCGATTGAAGTTGACTGCTTTCTTAGCTTAAGCAATTCGAAAATGGTGTCATATGTCAAGAGCTCTTTAAAGAAAAATAACTGTGACTGCATAATTGTCTGTTAATTAGACTCTAGTGTAAATTGGTGCTCTCTAGTAGAAAATTCTCCATACTTAAGGATGTTCAAATTGCCTGCCTGAATGACATTCATTCCATCGACTGTGACAGTTATGAACCTAGCAGAGCCTTATAGATACCGACAGAATGAACACATGATCATATTTATTGATTAGGCGTTCTGTTAATGCTTTGATTAAAACTTTTTTTCGTGATGGGCAGGATAAATACATTAGGAGTCTTGTATCGGCCATGGAAAAGGTTTACATGGATAAATATGGTGTCCACCCCCAGCTTGTGGCTGACACTCATCAATACCTGTACAGAACTCTAGGTAAAATTACTAATTAATGAATATTTCAGAATCAAGACTGAAGAACACCTTAGCATTTTATGAATATTCATTTAACATGTTTGCATACCTTATGAAATATGTGTTTTCTAGAACATTTTGAGAATTCATTTTAACACTTACCAGTATCTTAGATTTATTTCACTATTGAAATCATTTTAATTTATTGAAATTTAAAAAAAAAAAACAATTTTAAGATATTTTGGTGTGTGTGTGAAAAAATAATATAGAACTGACTCGATGTCAAATTTGCACATCATGAACATACATTTTTATATTAAAGTACCAATACTCTGTATATTGATTTGTATAGGATCGAAAAATAGCCTTGAAAAAAAAAAAATTGGATTTGTAAACTTTTAGTGGTATAAATTTGTAGAAAGCACTCGAAAGCTAATGTTTACTTCATGAAAAATGCAACAGTCTGTTTCATTGATTTCATTATAAAATATTATATGTTATAAATTATTTTTAAAATGCAGGCCGGCAATTGATTTTCAGATCAGTGTTAAAATACTTCATTTATAGGAGATAGAAATTCCGAAAATAAATGGTTTTCACTTCCTGGATAGGCTCATATAATGCAGGAATATAAACTATAAACAGAAATTTGGGGTCGTTGTAGGGGGCAAATCCTACTGATAAAAACTCAAGTTTGGAAAACAACATATTAATGTGCAAGCATCCTCATTTAGTTCAACTTTATCTAAGCAAGGTCATTAACTTGTTGAAGTTTGAGGCCAAATTTGGGGTATATTATCTCCATAAAAATCATTCTGCTGTAAAAGCGATATGCTTTAGGTGAGCACAGGGGACCATAGACCTCTTGTTTTGACATGTTTCACACACTGTTTATATATAAGTGATGTTTGTATAGGTATATTTATTACCTTGATATGTGTTATTTCATTGGCATTTTTATTAAGAATGCTGTTCTATAAGGTAACTGTCTTTATTATTATGTACTGTTATGTTTAGGTCCTTCAAAAAAAAATGTTTAACTAGAGAGATAATTAAAAAATTCCTTTTCAAGTAACAAGGTTCTTTGACTTCTAACAAAGCTGTCTAAATATCCATAAAACTTGTAGATCAAAATAATTACAAAGATGGGAAAAAATATGATACAGGGTTTGAGGCATCAAAGGTTTACAAAGAAGATCAGGCAAATTAATTAATCCTTGACTTGTACAATGTTTTTTTAATGCACAGGTATGGTTGGAGTCAGAATGGAAGAAGTCTTAAAAACAACCAGGGAAGCTATCCAGAAAAAGGCCTTGTACCGGTGTCTGACTTGCGAGGCCATTATGGAATATCAGTTACACGACGAGTGGTTCAAGAAAGGAGGAAATCTCTACAACCTAGCAGAACAGACTTATGGGAAATTAAGACCAGACAAGAAGTATTCGTTTCCACAGCAAGGTAGGAACGAAAACAAAAGGCTCACCGAAGGACAGAAAAATCCTATTACATCTTTTTTTAATGACTGTTGGTGGTTTTTTGATGCCTTGGGACTTTCATGTCAGGATTAAGGATATTCTTGACTTTGAAAAAAAAAATCAATGCATTGCACAAAGAACAATTTTCTTTCAAAGCATGTGGAATGGGAATGATATTGGATAACTTCGTGATTGAGAGAGAGAGAGATCTTGGAGTTTGAAATTGTTCTAAATATTTAATAGATGTTGTTATTATCCAGCTGATAATCTAACTCTTTACAGGAGCCATATGTAGTTACGATAAAGATCAGGATAAACTCATACCAGAGCTCTCGAGATGTAAACCAAGCACCTGTTCCTATTGTCAAGGGTAAGTTTCTGTGTATTCATTTGTGAATTTGATTAATGCAGAGGTGAGTTTTGTCACAAGTAGAGCTCATTTTTAGAATCTAACCAAAATTTCTGGTATAGTTGTGGCTTTTTTTTAAGTCATTAACTTTTCCTCAAATATTTTATGTCGTTAATATGTATATTAAATATTATCCCTACAATATGTACCTCTTTGAAGACAAACACAATAATTTTATATTAAATTTGTAATAATTACCAGTAACTTTACTATAATGTATTATGCATACAGCTTTCAATATTCATTGAATGAGGTAGAAGGTAATTTGAACTGATTTCTATATAACTATAAGTGCCAATTTCCTGCTGTCTGCAGATGGGGAATTTAAGAGGGCTTGGGGTTGCAGTTTGCAATAAATGATATAAAAAGGATAAAGTTTAATTGATGTATCTTGTTTTTCTATAATACAGGTAATTTTCCGCAAGTAATACATTTATTTTGATTTCCTGCGATAGTTTTTTTGCCTTGATGAAAATCTGTCTAGTTATTGTTGGAAACTTTTAGAAATAACCTATGGTTATGACTATAACACACGCAAAATTTCTTTACTGTTATTTTTCTCTGAATTCTACAGAGATTTAATTGTATTTATCAACCTCTTAAATTATTGCTGGCAGTTTGCCATGAATTCTTTTAATCTATCTTTTTTTTCCAGAGAGACTTTTGAAAATGTCAATAAAAGTATTACATATAATGATTTTTTTTTCAAACCTATCGTGTTTGATTGCAATTCAAATGTACCCTTTAAATTTATTTCAAATAATTTATCGACCCCTACTGTCAATACAGGTATTCATTATAACCGAGCTTTTTCTTATCTCCTTTTCTAGGTCAATAAGGGGCATTGAACTTTTATATCCATTGACAAAATCATTAACCTATTATACTAAACAGAAAAAAAACTGTTAATTATTGATAAAAATTGCAGCCACTTTAGCTTGGTGTCTCTGGGTAATTTGATGTATTGATAATATTTCTTTTTTTAGTAGTTCAATTCACAGCAGTTCCTGTACTTTTCTGTTTTCTGTTGCAGTGAAAACATTCGACTTGTTAACGGGGATGGTAGTATTTGTTATGAAAACGGTGACAGAACGAATACCCCCGCTGCATCCAGTCGTTGTATGTGTGGATTTAAACATTACTGGGATGGCAAGGAATATGACAACCTACCAGAAATGTGAGTTTTCGAACTTTCAACAAAATATTTAAATGTTGGTATTTTTAATTTTAATATCTTGAAAACCAGTGACATGTTGAATTGATTTGGAAATTCAAACCACTTATTCTCTATGTATTATTTTTCCAACTATGGGGGTATTTTACCCTTGATTTTTCAATACTATAATATCTTTTAGTTTTTCATCATTTTCTTTAAGTTTGAGATATTGAGGTTGTACAATATATTAAAATTGGTCTATTAAGTGAACTTTGGCTTGTTTATATGATATTTTTCAAAACATAATTTTGAAAAAAAATAATCCTCAATTTAGTATGTTAAAAAATACTAAAAGATACAGTTAATCTACAGATTTTATTATTATACAAATCCTGATTTGCCTTTAGTTTTCCCATCTCTATGGACTGGAATGGAGAAACTGTGACAGAGAAAGTAGTATGGTTCCAGCACGAATCTGATGTCACTCTCAATAGCAATGTGTTTGAAGTAGCCCAAAAATTAGTCCAGAAACATTTCCCAGGTATAAACTTCTAACATGTGTTATACATTATTGATCTTTTTGTTTTGATTACACTTTGCTTCATACTGAAAAATATGTGGTGTTTTTTTTTTCTTTGGGGGGGGGGGGACAAAATGTCTTCCTCTTCTCTGATTATACCCTTTAGGCTTGGCTATCACTTTAATCTTGACCTTTGAGATTTAACCTTGGGCAAGATCATTATACACCTCAAGGTCATCATCAATGACACATAGTAAGTCCAAACAAGGAATTGTTAGCCAGGATTCTTGACATCATTTTCCTTTGACCTTGACCTCTAGATATGACTCTTAGACAAACTCATGACACTCCATATGGTCATAGATTACAATATGCACTGTACTAAAGTTGAATAAATGGTAAAAATTATGACACAGATATGATTTTGTGACCTTAATTTCACAGTTAAAATTTAAATTATCTGTTTAGGAGAATTTGGCAGTGAGCGTCTTGTTCAAAGAGTGGTGGATACAATATTGCGTCACACTGCTCCCAAGGTCAAGGATCGGGAGGGAGGAAGCTCAGCAGTTGTGTCCCCTTACCAAGACACGGAGTGGTCAGCAGAAGAGCCGTCCAAAATCATACTGACTGGACAAAAGGTATGTACTGACCAAATACAAAATATCAATTTAACAGAATTTATAATATTATAAGTATTATTATTAGAAAAGAAGATATCTGTGAGTTATGTATGTTGAAGGTAAAATATAATAAAGTTGAAATGAAATATCTGTATGTTATTAAAAATTGAAACCTTAAGATTTTACAACCAGAAAGAGATTGGCATACATCTGTAAACCTTCAAGGTCATACTTTAACTAAAATGCAATATGGGCATTTATAATAAGGCTAGCAACTACATGTACATGATCTTGATTTCTAACAATTGATTTATTCAGGTTTTTATAAAATACATGTCAAAATTACATTGTAATCATAATTTGTACAGCAAAAAACTCTACACAAAGAGGAATTAACAGTAAGCCAAAAGGAGAAAATGGTTAAAAAGCAGATAGAATCACAGGCTCCAAAACACCAGCAGAAGAAAACCAAGGAGGTGTCTGCCTCAGCAAGCAAGTCTAGTCCCTCTAAGGTAATTTATAAAGATTTGCAATAATGCAGCATGTTTTCATGAAGAAAATCTAATCATTTGTTAAGCATAATTCGTGCAACAGAAATGCACCCTGCCAGGTTTATTCTATATGTTTTGATTACATTCTCCCTCGATAAACCAATTTTGGCAATTGATGTATTTCCTTTGTGCAAGATGATGCAATATAATCTTACAATTGTCTATGTTAATAACGAAAGAAATTTGTCTTAAAAGGCCAGATTCTACTGAGATTTAGTTATAGTGCAAATGAGACTCTCATCTTTTAGGGATAATGCTTTTCTTGTGTCTTGAGAAGTCCTAGTGTTTTGTTAGATATTGATTATACACTTGCTAATTTAATTAGTGAAAATGAAACTTATATAGCCCAGAAGACTTCTAAAACATATCAGTCTCCATAAATGGAACATGTCTTCTTTAATTAATTAAAACGTAACATCAATGGGACGTACGTCATGAGCACCATATGGGTAACAGCAATTTCATCTGAAAAACCTGTGCCCCCAAAAACATCTTTTGTTAATGACGTATCTTTTGTGTCCTTGAATTTCTATATTTAGAATATGTGAATGGATTTTTTTTTTTTTATCAATTAGATTCAATGATTTTTTGCTTGCAGCCAAAAATGGAGCATGCATGCAGTAAGGAATCATCGCCCGTTCCCATGGAAATGGAGAAGCCACCTGGTCAAAAGAAAATCCGAGTAGCCACTTCTGATGGCCGACAGGTCTGTTTGAATCTTAAGTTATCAAATAAGGTTGCTTTAATCAGGTTGGGGGGAAACATAAATTCCGCTATAATAGTGGTATATCACTATTATAGTGAAATTCCGCTATATTTTCAGCCGTATTAACCCTCAAGTTGCATTTTTAACATAGCAATCAGCGATTTTGACAGTATTCAAGAAAGACTGAATTCCAATTTTTTTCACACATGTGCAGAAATTAATGCTTATAATAATTTTCAACGTGCATTGAAAAAGGTTCGTCGAATTTACAGTAGAAAAGACAATCTTTGTCTGCATGGTTATGGGTATGGAGGCCTGTTGTGACAAATGCTATAAAGCTCATTTCATGTAAATTTAATTTTGGTAGAAACGATATGTCTCGTCTAAATGCAATAAATCGTAAACAATCTATAAGATGACAATTCTTCAGGTTATATTTATATATATATATCCATATGCAGAGGGTTCTATCACCCCCAAACACATCTTTTTCAAACATTACCCTTCATATTGAAAATGTTCATTGAAAGGCTGGCTGCCTCCTCCCCAAATTTTTGTTGTAGTATATAGATCAATAATGGTAAGTTGGTAATGTATGTTAAAGTATTAATTTTGATTGTGAAACGAAGTTGGAACCTAATCTTATTCGAAAATAGGATTTTCAATATTTATCCTTAGTTCCAATTTCCAACACTTTTTAAAAGTCTTCTTTTCTGTTTTCTGGCTATAACCCCCCCCCCCGACCCTACGTGTATGTAACAGTGGCGTAGCATCGTTTTTGAAAGTGGGGGGGCCAGGCAGAGAAAATTTTTTTTTACTTACCTGAAAAAGTTGACAAGCTAAAAAAAAAAAAAAAAAAAAAGGTAAAAGTTGCCCAAAGTCGAAAATCCTATTTCGTGGGGGGGGGGGGGGGGGGGGGGGGTGTAGGTAAACTTTTTCTCAGTGTCAACTACTTTTAGTACCAATTCTTATACTACATTTTCTGTACATTTCTAAAAGTGGAGGGGCCAACCAGACTTTCAATTAACATTTCCTATAGTGTAAGTAAAAAGCCCCCCCATACTACGCCCCTGTGTAATGGTTTATTTATGCTACATTTTTATCCAACAAAAATTACACGAAATATAGCTGTAATTTAAAAAAAAATAAGTGTGGATTTAGTGATAAAAGACACTACGGATTATGAAACAACTGCTTCATATTTTGATATTAGATTGGAGAAAGAGATCGATGGCAAACCAACTACTAAACTTTATGGTAAACCTGATGACTTCAATTTTTCTATCGTCAACTTCCTTTATTTATGTAGGAATTAACCATTTTTACCTACTTATGGATTTATAAACGCCTCATGGTTGATTCAGTGCGCATGAGCATTTTCTTCGTACGTGCAATTTTTAAAACAAAACAGGCTTCTGAAAAACAAGTTGATGAATAAAGGGTCCACAATCTTGCATGAAGTCAACACTCCGCAAATGTCATGGTCAATCCTCTGACCTTATGTGCAAACACAATCTGTCGTAGGTCGAATGTATGTTGACTAACGTATTTCATACAAATTGTTAAGCATAATTTTCATCGATTACGAATATTTCCATTTAAACGATAATGACAAAGAGCAAAAGGCAGGTGTGAACGGTCGACAGGGGATGCTAACTTCTGCATGGGTCCTGATTTTAGAGGTCCGTGTTTGATGTGCTCAAAGTTTATATTATTTCAATGTCCTTTTGAACTTTATTACTGTTTTTTGTTCGTTATATTGTAACTACTTAAGCTGTTTCTTCTTTTATTTAATTAATTGTTGGAGAAATAATCTTATTCGGTTACAGTTTTAATTAACTTAAGATTTCATTACCCTTTTCAGTGAATAACGAAGTTAAATACTAGGTATATCATATGCCATGCAACTTAGACAAGAAACAATTCGTACAAAATTTATACTGTAAGATGCCACTTCCACATGTTCAGGTAATCCCATGCAAGAATAATGCGAGTGTCTTTCCGGGATAAATCTAATCGTCTGAACTTGTCGATTTACCATAAAAAGAAACGTTATACTTGTGATAACCTGAAGAATTGTCATCTTATAGATTATTTACGATTTATTGCATTTAGACGAGACATATCGTTTCTACCAAAATAAAGTTTACATGAAATGAGCTTTATAGCATATGTCACAACGGGCCTCCATACCCGTAACCATGCAGACAAAGATTGTCTTTTCTACTGTAAATTCGACGAACCTCTTTCAATGCACGTTGAAAATTATTATAAGCATTAATTTCTGCACATGTGTGAAAAAAATTGGAATTCAGTCTTTCTTGAATACTGTCAAAATCGCTGATTGCTATGTTAAAAATGCAACTTCCGTTTTACAAAGTGTGTTCGCATTATTAAACGCATCGACAGAAAATTAAATAAAATTCATAATATGTAAGGGTGCCAATTAGTGTCCATTTTTATACCCATCATGAATTGCTCTTTGAACAGCAAGCATCTTATTTGATAATATTGAGGGTTAATACGGCTGAAAATAGCTATATATGATATACCACTATTATAGCGGAATTTACGTTTCCCCCCAACCTGTTAATGAAAGGTTTCATACATTGTCCATTTTATTTTATGAAATGTACTTCTTAAGTTAAATATAAATTTTAATATTGATAGTCCTGTTTATCAGTGGTGACGGTTTGCTCGGTATTAAACTTGAAATCAGCTGTGTTTCCTTGGGGGGGGGGTCTGGTCTTCAATGATTTTAATATTTTAAAATTGTTATTTTTATCTAAATTATGTTTAATGTATCTTGAAAGACGTTCCTAGTATCAAAGGGCTCTTTTTCGAGCCAATGTTTTCATTGTTCATGTATTACCTTCTTCTTTTAACTTGTGGACTTCTTATTTACTATATAGTTGGAGGAAGACAACTTCTTTAAACATATTGCATTTAGCATGTAAGATATTTGGCAGAAATAGATTGTTGTTAACACTATTTTACACATGTATATTTTAGGTTATGTTGACTGTTGAAGGACAAGTAAATTTTAAAGCTCTCCAGGACATGATATACAAGGCTGTGAAAGTTCCTCCCGAGAGACAAAAAATAAGGATCGGATTTCCTCCCAAGGAATTAAAAAGACCTTCAGACTCAGATATTAATGAGCCAATTCCACTCGCTCACGGAGACAAAATATCACTGGAAATCCTTCCAATGATTCATTCTTTGTCTGATTCAGGAGCCGAGAGTTCACATCATGAGCACAAAGGTAATTCCTAATGTATTACATGTACTTAAAATGACAATTGAATTTTACATTTCATGAGCATGGAAATTCCAAATTTATGAAATACTTGAGTTAGAAATTATGGTAATGTTTGGTATGCACTTTTAAAATTCTTCTTTATGGTACTTTGTAGTGAAAAACAGCATCTGGAAAGACTGTGTATATGTAAATGAATATGGATGCTCAGAGTTCCACATCGATTTTCATAATGAACAAATAACAAAACAAACTTGTATCAACTTTAAAATTAATTTAACTCAGCTATACTCACAGAAGTGATGTTGTAGACTGATACATGATATACTGTGAAATCACAGATTTTCGTGGGGGTTTGATTTTCGTTGTTTTCGAGGTATGACGGGACTCATGAATTCATGTCCACATGAAATGTAAAATGTTACAGACATAAGTACTTGTTAATTCTTGATCCATGAAATCAAATCCCCACGAACTAAGAGATTTTCCTCAAACCACGAAAATTTGACCCCACGAAAATATGTGATTTTACAGTATATGAGTTACATGTATGTAATTTTATTTTTGTTTCATTACAACTCTTTAACATAGGTTGTGTTGTTTTTCTTTTACATTATAGCTCTGAAACATTCCGCCTCTGCTCCTGTCAAACACAAACAAAAGTGGAGCAATTTTGAAGAGGATATCCACCATACACCAGCATTTGAGCCACTGCTTCAGAGTTTCCATGATCAAGCAGGTGAGAACAATGTAGATTGTGAAGGAAAAAATGAGATTGTATATTTTTATACACACAAAATTATTTTTTTCAATTATAGTCCCAGGCTTGTCCTACAAAATGTGGATGAATAATTTAAAATGAAATATTCATATTTTAAGTATAATTTCTTGGAACATTTTGTCTGACATCTACTTTCTTGGAGATTACAAAGTTTGATATAAATTTTAAATCTGTGTACAAATTGTAATGCATGTCACTAAACTGGGTTTTTACTTTTTTTTCTCAAAAAGGTAGTAACAGCCTTGATGCTGCAGTTGCATCCCTTACCATCATGGCTACCCTAAAAGGTCGTGACCTTTGGACCCATGTACAGACCATGCCTCATTTATTTTCTGTGGGTGGATTGTTCTACAAACAAGTGGAGCGTGACCTAGGATTAGTAGATGGCAAACACTGCACATTACCCACTTTACCTGGAAAGGTAAATAGCATGAAATCACAAATTTTTGTGGGGGGTTAATTTCGTTGTTTTCGAAGTTTGAATAGACCCACAAATTCAAATGTAAAATGTTACATACATAATTACTAAACAAATCCCCACGAACTAAGAGTTTTTACTCAAACCATTAAAATTTGACCCCACGAAAATATGTGATTTTACAGTATTCTAGTAGATAAGACTGATAATTTAACGATAAGACTTGTCATTACATGTGCTGAAAATGTTTGTAAGAGGCAATGCATTTTATCTCACCTAAGCTAAAGTCTCAAGTAAATTTTTTGTATCAGAGTTGAGCCATAAATAAATACAGTACATGTATATGAATGATGATCAGATTTTAACTGGAAACCTTGAAAAGAATGATTGAAATGACAGTTGTATTAAACACATTTTTTGGCAATAATTTTGATGAAGTTTGAATTCTTTTAAAGGTATTCAGATTTAACGAGGCAGAGAACAGATTGGAACTGTGTATGGAACCATATGGACACTTTCAAATTGAACCTGGGGTGGAGAACAAAGCCCAAGAATCCAGACCTATTTTTGGCTCTCAGAGTGAAGGGTCATTTAGTGCATTCAGTGGAGCAGTTGGAAACAAGAGCAAGCAGACTGCATTCACAGGTCAAGGACACTCACTGAAAACAATGCCTGACATTGAAAAAATGCCGGAAGACATCCCAGAAAATTTACACCAACATGTACGCCACTCACACACTCTCTGTAATCCCAATGTCCACCAAGAGTCCATTGCTGAGGAGCCAGAGGATCAGATGGGAGTGGATCCAGAGAAAACCAGGGGTGTAGGGGGGAATGAAGGGGAGGGGTACCAGAGAATAGGGCCTGGATACAGTGTTATCAGTCATCCTAACGAGAACCAGACAAACAAGTCTGTCCAACAGTTTAAAGACCTTGCAGAGAGCATTGAAAGAACAATGAATGAGGACATATGTAAAATTGACGAAGAGGTAAAAAAAGCACTTGTTTGAAAAGCATCAACTTTCAAAGTACATATTCAAGATAATGTTGAGCATAATATCTTTATAGTATGCCTGCATGTAGGTGAAGCAAGAGTGGCACAGTTTGCAAAATGATGATGTACCTTAGCTGTTAATCAAAATCAGAAAAAAACCCATTTCATTTCCTTTTGCAATCTTTTCATTATTTTGCATTGCAGAGTATTTGATAATCAATGTTCAACAGTATCTGTAATATTCAATTGCAGTATATTCCACTGTTTTTTCTGTACATGTATATTTAAATTTTTGTAACTGTATACTTGGAAGTTTTTGGCCAATTTCACTTTTGCCCTGCCACAAAGTGATTTTAAAACTGTTGATTTAATAATGTAGACTCTTTTATTTCTTAGTTAAATACAGTCACATTTGGGTATGGGCTTACTTCAATTTCCATAAAGTTGGTCAAAATTGATATAAAACTTAAAAAGGCGAAATTAAACACTATACAGATTACAAGTATATGTTTTGTAAGTTTGAAACAAAAATTCTGAATTCTATAGATTCTGCTCAAAACAAAATTTGTCTGCTTATTGTAGATGGAGAAACTTGATGAAGAAGAGAGAAAAAGCAGAACATCTAGCATCAATTCTCCACAGAACACAGCAAGCCAAGAGGACAACATGTTCTTTAATGAAGACAAAACAGAATCTACAGCAGAAGAAAAGATGGAGGTCACAGGAAGTGAGGAAGGTAGACAACCCATGCCAACCTCAGCAGATGACCAATCAATTTCATGAGTGATTAATGAAAGTTGAATATAATTTAACTGGTGGTTAAAACTCAACAAGATTCCTGTTTACCGGTATCTAATTCAAAACTGACTAATTCATTTGAAACCGTTTGATAGTTTCAACAAAATGTGAGCAATTACATGTACATGTAGGCTCAGTAATTTAAATGCTCTAGCTGTTCTAAGCTTTTAAGATTTATTGTATGTATATTAAATTTTACAGCAATGAGAGATAAAAAAAAGAAGTGCTATTTAATATAAAGACATGTAGATGTTTGAAATATTCATCATTTGCAATATATAAATCTTTGATCTGCTGTTGATGTATCTTTTTTTACTTCTGTATTTCAGAGCTAAGCACTGAATGTTAATTTTTATGTTCAATTTTAAAAGTAATAATTAATGATTAGTACTGTGTGCGCATGGCATAACGAATGTTTATTTGCCAAGTTTAGTCTCTCTTACTAGGAAAAAGAATTAAAAAATGTTAATTCTGTTGTACAATGAATGACACGATTTGTCGGTTGTATTTCACATGTGTACAGAATTACTATGTCACTTTCCCCAGAAAATCACTTCTATAGTATATAATTAGAATAGAAGAAAATCAGACCATTGTATCTTTGTAGTATTGTAATGATAATAATTTTGCATACAGTAAGTAATTTGCCATAATAAAGTTGTCTTTCAGTTCACACCTTATAAACTGTAGTGGACAGTGTACACACAATAACCTACAAACTTATGTCTGTGATGTGAATTTGGAAAGCTAGTTGTAAATAAATCATTTGACATTGTCTTTATCATTCTGTGGTCTTCATTTCAAGAAAGTAGTAGACTTGCGCATATGAATGCATGTAAAATTGGCATTTTCCTTTGGAGAGGTTCAACAGATCTTGTTACCAGTAACTCAATGAAAGATTCACTTAATAAATCCAATTGTATTTTTTTGAAGTCCAGTTGTATATATCAAAGCTTTTTCTTTCAAATTGGTTCCAGCAAGTTGTAGATAAAAATTCATTTGGTGTTAAAAGGAGGGTTTCTGACTAGATGAAACATTAAAAGTATATACATGTATATATATATATAACTTATATATTTAGATGGAAGTGATCAAAAGATCATATTTTTCTTTTCTCTTCACATTTGTACAACTGGATATGGTAAACTGAGTTTGAAATCTAGCAGGGACTATATTTTTTGTCGAGTTGAAGCTTGGCCACTGCAAGTGTTTTCTTGTTCTTATGAGGAAGTTTTGTGAATATATTCTCTGCTTTACACACGTATAAAATCACATCTGCCAAGTAAGTAAGGGATCACAATTAGTGCCCATCGGGATTCCAATAATTTGTGTAAAGACGTGATCTCTGAAGTCTTACGTAAACTGATGTTTTTCAGCATTCTTTTGATATCAAGTTTAGAGTAAATGTGTAAAATCTATGTGAATTTTAAGGATGTAATTTTGCTCATGACCACTCACAAGATGTGAAAATTTCTGATTTTTGTTTTCATCAAAAAAGTGGTTTTCTATAAAGAAGCCTTCTCAGACAGTATCTGTGATTAAAGAGAAATTCGCCAAAGCTGGATGATATTCTTTTATGACATGTATGAATTGGAATAAATTCATTTGAAACAATTTTCTTCAAAAATTGGCATCAAAATTTGTTTTGACGTAGTCCAGGCATCTGATTGGTGGATATTTATCTGATCCGTCTGTACACGTAATAATGGCGTCATCGTCAGGAACGACAAAAAAAGAAATTGACTGCCTTGTTTTCTCTCTGTCCTTATCTTCTTGTGGTACAACAACTCTGTGTTTCTGGGAAAAAAAAAGAGATTTTATTTTTCAGCAAGAAATGTGCAATATTTTTAAAATGTGTCCAACGTAAGGTTCGGGTAAAAACAAGTTACATGCATAGGAATGTTACTATATGACTGTAATTCTCACAATGTTCACTTTTTGAGTTAATCTCAAGTAAAGTTCATGGGCCTTCACTATGTACTACATGACTATAATTCTCACAATGTTCACTTTTTGAGTTAATTTCAAGTAAAGTTCATGGGCCTTCACTATGTACGATTTATTTAATGAATCAAGATAATCTTAGAATTATTATTACGCTATATATAATTATTAATGTTCCATGGGCTGAAATTTTTACCGTAGCCTTTAATCTATCAGCACTCCATCTTTGCATCATATCTCCGATGTTCATAACGATTGTACCCTCAACGGGCGGCACAGGGTGGTATCCATCACTAGGACCTTTTGCCTATAATGATTTAAACATACATGTACAGTGAAACGTGTCTTATCCGATAAGTCTGTGTTGGAATAGACAGGGTGTTGGATTGCACAGTGTTAAGAAACATGGAAAATAGTAAGACAGGAACAAAATTAAATGTCGGAATTCACAGCGTGTCAGATTACAAATATGTCGGATTAGACAGTTTTCAGTGTGTGTTCATAGCTAGCTGCATAAGCAAATGAAACTGTTGATTATGTTGAAAATTTACATATTTTCCCCTTACTTCTAGACCTGATACATCGTCTTGAAATAGAAATGTTATGGTGCCATAATCCGAATGTTCTCCACATCTGGCCTGGTCCTTCTTTATCTCTGCAAAATCAATTATTTTGTGTTCATTTGGAATGAAAGAGGGGAATAAAACACAAAGTGAACAATTTCATAAACCCTGCAAGCAATACCAATCGTGACAAAAACGTAAACCCTGGGAAATATCAGAAGTTGGATCAGATGCCTAACAGGAGTAAACATCCCGTGTCAACCAATCACAATCTTTGTTTTGATCAAGAATACTAGTATTGTAGATTCTCCTTAGGATAAATTTCTGCTTTATAAGAATAAAAAACAGGTAAGCAAACAAATAAAAATGTTATAAACAGAAGTTGAATATGCGCTAATTGATCACTCATAGCTTTGAAACCTCAAACATTCACACGAAAAAGAACCTCCAATAATAAAATTTACTCTTTGTAGAACCCAGAATTGTGAGCATTGTAATGATTTTCATTCGTTCTAGCTATAAATTTTAATATTTTTTACAATGAATTTATAAATTGGTAAATATTTAGACTTACCTTTGAGAGGTGGGTAGTAGTTTGATCTAAGCATTGTGTTATTTCCCTCGACACATATTCCTCTGTGAAACTGTCTCAAGTATTCTCTGTCCTGGAATGTAAACCATTTGTTCTTGTATTTAGAATAAAGTTATGTTACACAAATTGTTTACTATGATTGCCTTTTATTAACAATATTTTCATGTACCTTGTTCAATCCAGTAGAGAGAAGATCCAATATCCGCCATGCTAATTTTGTACACGTAATGTACATTTCTTTGAATGTGGAACTTATCTCTGGTGGCATGTTTTTGGGCAATGTCTAAAAAAAAACCCAAAGACATAACTTATTATTCATAACCTCATAGTAGCGTGCACAAGATACTTCTCTCGGACAGTCGCCTACGTGTCGCAATGGTAAAACTCTAGGTCTGATATAGAGTCGAGGAGTAGAGATCAAGTTGATCCATACGTCGTGGGTTCGAATCCAACTGTAGGAGTCGTAGAAACGGTCCTTTTGGGTATAATACTTTATACAATGAGGCCCCCTGTAGCACACAGTACGCGATCAGATGGCACGATAAAGATCCTTCTCTGCCAAAAGACCCTAAGTGGCGAGTGCAGGTCTAAATTTGCAGCCTCTTCTTGCAAGTGGTGGCCTCTCAATTAAGTGATAATTCTCAAAGGGACTTCCACCGTCGTAATTAAATTTTCACAACATTTAAATGTTTTAAATTTCATTTTTAAAAGATGACTTGCGTACTTTTAAATAAAAAAAAAAGCAGTTTCAGTCTATAGATGAAGTCTGTATCACTGCTGTACATACGTGCATTTCTAGGTGACCTAGCGAGAACTATAGATTGAAGGATGCATAAACAATACAAGTCAATCAAATACATGTACATGTATGTCCTATCTACGATGTTTGGTCCTGGGCTAGCAAGAAAATTCTCAACTTACACCATCCTTGGCAACAAGCATAGTGTAACCTTCTCGAGCATCAGAAACTGGTCTGTCATGATTGACTCTGTAGAGAACAAGACGACCAATCACCAGAGTGTCATTTTTTTCCAGCTATGAGGTCAGTTCTACTTGGAGCTATGTGAATTATATATTTTATTTTTTGGTGAGGAATCTATGTTAATTTCTGCATTGTAAATATCCTTATTTGATTAAGTTTGATAATAGAGTTATATAGATATACAGAATTTAATTGATATAATGTAATTTCTTCATTATATTAAATTACTACTTAATGTATTTTTTTAAGTACATCAAAAGATGTTTTTCAACATTTCTCTTACATTTATTTGATTGGTCAAGTCCATTACCTCTAAAAGAAGCAAAGATTGAAAAAAAAAATAAAAGAAATCAAAAAAAGCTTGAATACTTCTCTTCCTCAAATGAGATATAGCCGTGAAATTCTCCTCGAGGAATGGCATATTTTTGTTTTATTTCTTCTGATTGCTCAAAAAACGTTTTAGATGATGTAAACACGTCACTGATCTAAAAAAAAAAAAAAGAAGATGTTGTATAATTTAAATAATTATGAAATGAAAAAATATATTTTTATAGAAAATATTGATACTAGAAAATTAAATTCAGTTTACTTCATTTATTTATTATCTAAATCTTTTTTTTATGAATCTATTAAATGATATATATGTAGATATTGAACAATTATCAAACTCAAGGGTTAATTAAAACAATTTCGAGAGCAGAGCAACAGCTAGAGGCATCTAAAACATCAGAGGTGGGATCAGGTGCCATGGAAAGGCAAGAAAACTCTTTTAGTTGCAAGTAATGGCCTAGCAATTTGGGTACTGGGTATATATTGCTGCATAAGTAAGGGAAGTTGACGAGAGAAAAGTATCATTTTAATCACAAAAAAAAAATGATGTTAGGTAACCACTGATGTGTTTTTCTAGTAAAATTTCTAAATGCCAGTAGTAAATTATCATTTTAATATCAGGCTACTTGGCTACCTCTGTGTGCAATAGGAATATTTTTTGACAAAATATTTTTGCAACCGATCAGTGACAAGGTAAGTAAATCCAGTAATTACTGACCAATTGTTCTGGTATTCCATGATTTTTCAAATAGACAAAGCCAACGTCTTGAAAAGCATGGCATATCTCTTCGGCCAGTTTACGTAGTGTAGAGGTGTCCACTTCCTTCTCTGTTCCCAATAATGAATATGGCGCCAAATCAACCACTGGAATCATTTTTTTGATATTAGAACTTTGGATCTCTAGCTGCAAGTTAAAAATGGGCCTTAGATATTTTTTTCTCATAAAGCGCAAAGTCGATGTTCGGGTGAGATAAAAAAAACAACAACAAACAAACCAAGAATGCCAAGCTGAATTGACGATGAGTTCCAAAACAATAGTTTTTTAACAACAGACAACGACGAAAAAACCTTAATTTTCATAATCTTCAAATTTTAACTTTGATAATGTAACAAAATGCTGTTTTTCTGGGGGAAAATGTTCTATTTTTGTTATTTTATTGAGACAAAATTATAATTTAAAAAAAAAATCAATTTACACCTCAGTCTCACATTGCGAATTGACAAACAAACAGGATGTCCGTAGAAAAGTGGGTGGTGGAAAGAGCTTTACGATTGTATACTATATACAATGTAATACAACACTCGAGTTTTGGTCCCTCCGCAATTACATGTATAACATTTGATGACCTTTCTTGGGGGAGTTGGG